CACGCTGTGGTCGTGACCAGGTAGTGTGCGAATATTTTGGTACTCGTTCGAAGGATCCCATAGCTTGATGGTTAAATCGGAACTGCATGACGCAAGCAGTGTATGACCTTTCGGGCCACCGTAGTCGAGATCGAGAACCGCTTTGGTGTGGCCTTTCACCGTCCTTTCGAGCTCGCCAAACTCCCAATCCCAGATCTTGATAGTGGCATCTTCGTCTCCAGATGCGATGGACGAAAAAATCGGGTGGAAGGCGACGCAGTTGATGGGCGTTCGATGCGATTGAAGGACGTGTCGTGGAGGACCAGCTGGGAGCCAGGAAGATGGATCTCCTCTTCGGTTAGAGAGAGATGTCGGTGTAGCGCTATTAAGTTCTGTCTGAAGGGCGTGGTTCTGTGCTTCTAGATCCATGATCTGCGAATCTCCCTATTAGCAAAGCTATGATACGCGCATCTGCAGCTGTACCTTTTTTTGTAACCGTACGACACTTGTCCATTTCTTCTCCAGCAGCGTCTCGTATTTCTTCGCGGTAGCCGTATCGAAAGCATCCTCCCCAAGACTGAGCTCCGTCCTCATGGCATTGGCGCTTTCTTGCAGGTTATTTGCGGCGAGGTAGGCGATGATGGATTTATGCCTGCAGCAGTGTCAGATGGGCAAATCAAAGCTCCAGAAGCTCCCCTGTACGAACAGCTCCTCTGCCTGCCGGCTCGTCAACGTCCGGCTCATGATGGCGGTTTTTTGTATCGCTCCGCTCAGGAGAGCACTAGGGGTCCCAAGATCTTTGTGTCTACTGTATTTCCAAGAGTTGATTTGGTGTTGGGGGAAAAAAGGAGTATGCGAGATCGGGTTTCGTGGAGAAAACGGCGGGGGAGGGGCGGCAGCAAGTTTTGGTGGGAGCTTCGTTCGTTTCGTGACGTGTCTGTGGAGGATGCGCTGAAGAAAGAGATGATTGCTGTGGAATTGTTGACCAATGGGGCGCTGGATTGGGGATTGCTTGAAGGCGGTAAGACGCAAGGGGACAAAGGAAATATCAACAGCTAAACCGGCTTCATTGAAATGCGCTGCGCAGAGTAACACGGTCTCGCCAGGGGCATCAACATCGGATATCCAAAGAGCGGTGCAGCTAGCCTGAGATGAGCCGCTGCCCAAGATCACGTGTAGATAAGATAGCCCTACCCTGTATCACTGCATTGACAATCAAAAGATGTGTAACATTTCCGATGTAACAGACGTTTGAACCAGAGTAAAGGAGATAATAAAAATTATAACCAATCCTAAATAATAGAGAGGCTTAGTTAATTTAGTCTATACTTAAGGGCGTTATTCACAATTTTTTTGCATCCTCGAATCTGGATGCTAGAAAAGATTCATCTCACCAAGTGAGGTCCAAGTCAAGCGATGGGTGCGTGTTTGTGAAAACACGAATATTTTGTCATTTGTGAGCTTCTGCCAACAAGCAGCTACCAAGAATAACGTTAATATGCTTCACACATATATGCCAGCTCGGTTCCCCGCTGTAACACAATTCTCAGAACGTTTCCATCGATGCAATACTCACTGGGAGCGAGATTTAGGGCTGCTTCTGGTTCTCTGTTGTCACGACCTTGTCTATAGCGTAGTTGTAGGCTGAACAGAGATATGGAGCTGATATAAAATAGCTAAATGAGAAGGATTGTTTTTCTGATTGCTAGATGTATTTTGAGTTTCCGGGCCATTCCCAACCGTTTTCTCATTCCCTGGTGTTGTTTCGTAGTGAACTTGTAAGACAGGGCCTCAACCCAAAGGACTTCAAGTCGCAGGCATTTATAGAACCAACGTCGTTGAGATAAACACAAAACACTCCAATCAATGGATTGAACCGTTACTACCCTGTTCCCTGAACAAACGCAGGCATGAGTCCCTATTCCTGGGTGGATATAGGTTACATACATCCATCAAGACTCGCGAACTCGCTAAATCCTCCTACCACATGGCATCCACGATCGAGCGAAGCATTGCTCGGCGCTCAGGCCAAGTAAGGCTTCTAATTCTCCGAGTTGGTTCTTCTGGGGAATGTGCCAAGCGAATAATCCCCATCTAGGGCGTGTATCCACCAGATGAAACATCACGATGAGTTCGTGGTGATGTATAAAGATTGCCCTAGGATAAGTGAGAGCAGAGAGTCTGAAAGCTTTGCGGAAATGATCGGCTATGTGAGCCTTGAGGAATGTTGACGTGGAGCCGCATGTTTGATGGCTAGGTTTAGATCGACAGGGACGATGATTTGTGTGATGGTTCAAAGTTTATCGTTATTTAGGCTGGAAACAGGAGATATTCCTCCGGTCAGCACAGTAACTTCTAGATGCAAGGTTGGAGGAACTGACATAGTCTCAAAAGAAGGACTTGTTTATTGGGTATTAGATCTAATCGAAAAATACAAACGCCTATAACATTGCCGCCTGCTTTTAGTCTCTAGTTTACATGACAATGTGCTGACTTCCGTTGATCCGGACTTGTTCGGTTATGGTGATCGTGCAGTCGTTTGATGGAACTCTCGGTGCACTCTTATGCCCTGCAATATCTCCTCACTGCTCGAGTTCCCGCCGTCGACTTTGGCGTTATATGTTGTAGTAGTGAGCTCAAAGCCCTCGACATCTGGCCTTAGTTTAGTGTTGACTGGCGCTGATGTCTCTGTGAATTTCGGCCCCTTGATCAAATCAGTCGAGTCGTTGTCATCTGGTAGTCTGTAGAACGCATTCGTCGATGCAGAGCCATTGGAACTCCTGCCAGCGCCAGTGTTCTCGTGGGACTTGAGGCCCTTTGTTGACTTGTCGCCGGATGGCCTGACGTTACTGCGGACTGTTGATGCGAAGCTGCTGAGGCCGGTGAATTTGGCGACGAGTCGGAGAACTGGCAACATTGTTGGGAGATTTGCTGAGACGATACCGGCTGACATTTCGATCTCGGTCCATCCTACTGTAGGGGCGAGTGTATAGCTTGGATCAGTGCTGGTGTAGGTGAAGAGAACGCTGGTTCGGTAGGCCGAGGCGAAGACGACGAAAGATCCTATGGCAAAGGCAGCTGTGAGACCAAGCTTTTCGGACTTGCCGAGCTGAAGCTTCCAGATAGGAGGTAGTGGTAGACACAAGATGACAATATCGGTAAAAATCGTCGAAGCGGCATTGGCGATCCATGTTCCGACTTGGTTGATACATCGGCCAGGGAGATCGGGATACCAGAGCTTAGCAACTGGGATGCAGATGAAGATAAAGAGAAAGGTAATGGTGATGACCCAAGCAAAGACGAAAGATCCAACGAGCCAAGCCATCTTCTTGAAGTAAGGGACGCGGAAGATTCGGTAGTACATGAGCAAAAGACTCAGCTTCGTCCAGCCGAGGTTCCAAGCATAGAGAACTTCAGCGACAACTAGCCATTTGGCCATCATGACTATCTGCGAAGGAGGGACTTTATCTGCGTGAATGCCCATTCCGTTGGCGTGCATGGCGAAGATGAATCCTACAACGACCAAATTCCACGACTGAATTGTTAGACTCGGTTGCATTTAGCACACTAGACTGTGAGTGTACCTACCATGGAGAATAGAATAACATAGTCATCCCACCAGAGCTTCTGTGCCTTCAAGTGCCGACTATACAACCGAAGACCACAAGAGACCAACGCCAATACGGTCATGGAAACAACGACTTCGACAGTCCATGGTTGGATGTTGTGCTTGTCGAAGCCAGGAAGGCCTGGGAGCTGAGACTCGGCCATGATCAAAAGAGTGGTTACAATGAACAAAAGAGAACAAGAGCTAATGAATTAAAGGAACGGAGTATTTTTAAAAAGCATAATGTATTGTTCACAGGAGAGTAAGTATCAAGGGAGTGGGACCCATGGTCAAAACTCATCTGACAGCTCACATTACAGCCTAAAGAAGAATAGAACATGACTTTGACTGGAAAAAGCAATGGAACCCAAGGGTCTGGTATTAGTTGGGTAAGGACTCGACGTCTAGGCTAGAACGTGGTTGTGGATTCATTTCCGCACAGCCGGGAAAAGGTCTTCCACCCTGTCTTTACTCTCATCTATAGACATGACCCTGCGATGAAGAAGTAAGGCGAGACACAGACGCTATAGTGAGACATCTATTAATGAGTCCATCATGCTATCTTAAACTCGTCCAATATCATTCTTTTCATGATACATCTTTCATGCAGTCATGCTTCAGCTCGGATATAAAACTGACAGGGGTTTATGTAAGTGAGCCGACTCGCCGATCACGCAGTGGCAAGCTTACACGACATTTGATAGATATTTGCTCATAGGGTAGCATTCTACCTATTCACCAGCAGGGGACTGATTCAGGAACTCACACAACTTCTGACGCATCATATGCATAAGAATTTTTCTTGTCTTTTGGCTCGGGAATAGTCGTTCCTGCGCCGTGGCGTCGGTGTTTTAATCCCTGTGCCTGTCAGCACTCTAACGTATTTCTCACCAATGAGTTTCAGAATGTGGGGAATGCCGAGGGACAAAAAACGTGTGAAACGAAACAATATGCAGAGTGATTCCGCACGTCAAAGTATGTGATGTCTTCAACCAACATACACTTAGTCTGGTGCAGACTACACAGCAGAATAACCTCGACGGTCCGGCCCGTTCTCTAAACGCTCTCAGTGTCTGATCACAGTAGCCTTCTTAGACTCTTCTCCATGCGGACCTCCCGCCGGTTCCGCCCCAAGTCCGGCGCGGAACGGCGCCGTCCATCGCACGGAGAAGTATCCCCTTGCGGATCAAGGTCTGGCCACCGACTCAATTCTGCGCATGTCCTAGCCCCCTGATCGTCGCTGGGTACAACACACGTTTCCGTCGGTGGGTTGTCATGAGAAGTACATAGCCCGGTTCTCTAGCTCTTCTTTCGGAACCATACCAAGAATCTACCTCCATACCTTTCTATTCATCACACCAGGAACAGTTGACTCACACCAACACTGTGCCGTAACTGAACATCTTTTGCAAAAATGGCTGCCAAATCTACTATCAAGGTTCCCCACCTCGGAGGCATCGATGCCGGCTATCGTGTCTCGGGCTCTGGCATCGACTCTAGCAAACCTACCCTTGTGCTCGTCAACTCCATGTGCACCACATCATCTCTCTTTGAAGCACAGTTCTCTGCTCCGGAACTCACTGACAAGGTCAACCTTCTCGCCATCGAACCCCTCGGCCATGGCGCCACAAGCTCAAAGTCAGAGCACTTCACCTACTGGGACTCAGCCATCATGAACCTCCAGGTCATGGAAGCTCTTGGCGTCGACAAGGCTTTCGCCCTGGGAACAAGCGCTGGCGGCTGGATCGTCGTTCGCATGGCCCTCCTAGCCCCTGAAAAGGTACGCTTCTTCTCCCAAGAAGTACAAGGCCACACTTCGGCAGTGGCCTTGTCTTCATACCCGGTTACGTTAAGGCCCCCCTGACTTACACACACCCGTTCCACCGTAACAGATCCTCGGCGTTCTCCCGCTTGGCACGTCCATGGACTACGAGTCCGCCGAGTCTCGCGAGAAAGGCTGCTGGGACCCCAAGACTCAGCTTGGCCCCTTCTACGAGAACTGGCACAGCACTACGCCAACGCCTGACTTTGTCGTCGATGACGTTTGGCGCGGTCTCGTTTCGTCGGTAGGCTTCGGAAGCAACCCATCTCCTGAAACGCTCGCGTTCTGGGACGAGACGCTCAAGCAGGTCTATCGCGGGGACGAGGGCCGAAAGAAGCTGCGGATCGCCGTTGTCAACCTTTTCGAGAGGGATGGTCTGCTTCTTCGCTTGCGAGACGTCAAGTGCCCCGTTTACTGGCTTCAGGTGAGTGAAAAAGAGATAAGCTGACCTCCACTGAGTTAAGCGGGGACTAATCATTGTGACATTAGGGCACTGCCGATCCTGTGTTTGGCACGACTGTTCCTACTGAGCACATAAAGCTCTTCACCTCGAGCCCTGAGGCTACGCTCGACTTTGTCGAGGGCGGTGGCCATTATCTGAGCGCTACTAACCCCAAGGAAATTAACGAGGCCATTCTCAAGATGGTGACCAAGTATGCTTAAGATAAGATAGAATAGAACATAGCTCTTGATGAATTGATATTTGTTGCTATGACCAAGGCTTTCCCCAACATCCTCCACTATTACTGTCATCCGCGCTTAACTTGAGCTGTTGGTTCTTTCAACAAAATCATCCCCGGACACGGGTTTAACAAGTTCCCCGACGAGTATGGGGCCGGGCACTAGGGTTTACCCAACGGGCGGGACGGCGTCGAACTATGAGTTAGTTAGTGGCTCCATCAAATATCGTTCGAGTTCCTGAGAAGAGAACGTATGAGGCTGAAGCTTACGAGAAGAATTTTCCGATGGGACGTATCGTATTAAGGTCTCTCTGATTTGTCAATGGCTTATGGTTGAAATAGGGAACAAGTGCCGTGAGTAAAGGTCAATTGTCTCAATATCGTATGTTGTCATCTGAGTAACCAAGCATGGCTCTATAACAGAGTAACTGCTTATGGTTAAGAAGCTGACCACCGGCCAAGCACGGGAATAATAAAATTTCTTCTCGACAGACCCTGAACTATCAATCGTCGGATAAAAGGCCAAGCCATCGATGTAACCCTTCTTTCGCATCAAAAGGTCCGATGAGCCTCAAGTCTTGGTCCAAGTCCTGTTTTCATAGCTTGCCAGACTAAACACGCGGATGAGCCTCAAGACTTCCGTTCAGCCTATGAATCCACGCTTAAATGGCTCTAGTTATATGCGAATCCACAGCCTTAATATCATCCGAGGACTTCTGCGGAAACTATTGAGGTTCCGCGGATGGTTTATTATTCACAGCGGCGGTATCGGTACGAGTCAGGTGCTGGGTGGTTGTCGATCATTGTCAGCCGCTAGCTTTCATTGTGTGTTGCCACAGCATCATGCCTGTTTAGTATATAAAATGTCAGCCTCAGTTTTAACGCAACTCGATGTAGCATTGTGAGTGCTCGCATTGTTTTTGGCGTCTGTGAGTGGCAGAGTTAATTGCTTCAACGAGTCAAGACACTAGTCAACGATAAGAGAATTGTCGGCGAGATGAAAATTGGCCAAGAAGAACCGAGTGTTTGTAAGTGCTAAGTAGTGTACAGGGAGCAGATGAACCTCCTTGCTGACTCCTCTATGAGTGAATGACATGACCGAATGATTATGTGACAACCTGGGTGTCATCGAGATGTCCCTTGATACATGTTACATGATGTTCCATCACTGATAATATCCCGTTCCAAAATGTTGATAGTTGGACCACGAAGGAGTTCCGATGGGCCAGTAGTAGAATTCCTGCTGGTGGCGAGGGGAGGCCAGGTGCTGGTTCAGGCTCGACAGCTGTCTGAATAGAGCGCCGCAGAAGTAGCACTCGTAATGTCCGTAGTAAGTGTTGTAGACGCCAGCTGTTGCTTGATAATACACTATCTGCCGCCACACAAGAAGTCTGTTGTAGCTAGCGCCATTGGGATCCTGGCGTTGAGTGCCACGGTTCAGAGGTACATTAGGGCAAGCACCTTGCTCCAGATGGTAGACGACGCCACTGGCAGAACTGTAGCGCGCCGAGCAGAAGGGACAGGCGACTCCTGGCACGCTGTAGTAGTGCTGAGCACGCTGTCTCATGGGGTACGACTGCTACTCAAGTCAGTGTTTGTTTATGTCTCGTTGGCCTGCGGTGAACAAACCTGGGTAGGGATGTGCGAGCCCGAGAACTGCTGATGATAGTTCGCATAGTGAGATCCGTGGTAGTAGCTGCAGGAGTATCCTTCATGAAGTCTCAGCTCATCGCGTCCACCGAAGCAAGTGCCGCAGCCGTTACATTCCCAGCAGGGTGGGAAGTGCCCAGTTGCCTCGCAATGCTGGTCTCGAGAGTGTTGTCCTGCAGGGAACTGCCTCTAGCAGGTCCCGCAGGAGTACATGTTCGTGTCAGGTAGTGGTCAAGATGATTTTTAAGTGTTTGTTGGAAACGAAGGGGAAGTTGGGAGGAGGATGTGAAGCGGACGGGAGAAGATGGAGTTGAGGGGGGGAGGGGAAAGGAGTACCTATGCAGCAGGGAACGGTTCACGTGACGAGGGAAATCGAGAAAAGGCTGGCAATAATAACTTGGTGGGTGGCCTTAGGGTTATGTCTCGTCCGATGTTCCCAAGGCTTGCTGTAGGAGTGAGTGTTTGGCAGTGTTCAGTGAAACCCAGTGCAGTTCAGCAGACGGGAGCCTAGTCACTCAGGCACTGCCAGGGAACTAGGGGGGATATAGGGAGTATCTGGGCTTAAAACCTCTCTAGTTGCCTACTAGAGGAACCGTAGATATGTATTATTACCTAAGGCATACAACTGATACAATATCCCATTCCAAACCGACCTCAGAACAGCGTCTTCCTATCGACAGCCGATTACCCAACCCAAAGAAGCAGAATACACAACATCGACACAAGCATTTCCACCCCCTTATTGCAAATATATCATCTTATGCGGATCAACAATAGTAGAAATACTCTTCTGCACCTGCTGAAATCTCATATCTTACAACTCTCACTCTCAAGGTGATTTATCAGCGCCGCCAACGTCTTGAACTCCTTCCCACAAGACCGCTTCACACAATGATACCAACTCTGCTGATGTCTCGGTGACTCGAAATGCTTCTTCAAGCTAATCAGGGTCATGTCAGCTTGTGGCATAGATAACACTCGAACGCTTTGGACCAGGGGCTCCACGCGGCAGTTGGGTTGACGATGTACGTCTTCTCGCCGTACCATGCTAGCTCTTTGTTCGTGATGAGACTGCGATGATCGCGGTTTTTGATGTAACGGTAGAGCTTGTTGCGGTCCATGGGAACGCGAGGACATGAGCCTCGTTCTATATGATGGGATAGACCTGTTGCTGTGTTGCAGGTGGCTCTGCAGAAGGGGAATTTCACCGCTGACACGCGATGAAGCCTGGAGTTTAAATGCTAACCCAATTAACAAACATTCTCTCAACTGCTGGGTATGATCTTACCATCCGGAGGTTATTCGCGTTCATAAACTGACGATTGCAGGCCGCGCAGTGGAAATGCCGTTCAATCTCATGCTCCCTAATCTCGGCCTGCGTCACAGCTCTATCGCCACATAATTGACACTCGGGTACATTTCGATGCCATTGTTGTTCAAGATTCATGTGCTGACGACGGTCATACTCGTCCTCGAAGCAGTCACTACAGCTATCGCACTCGAACGCTGGTGAGGCGTGGCCTGCCACTTGACAATGCTGGTCGTGGGCCTTTCTACCGGCGTAGAAGAGTTTATCGCGGTCTGTGCAGTAGTAGGCCATCCTGATTGACAGCTGTGAGCGTTGAAAAGGGTGATTAGTGGTTTGTGAAGGTTTGGGGGGTTGGGGCAGTTGTAATTTAATCTCGGGTGAGATAAGTTTCAGGGAAGAGTTTTGGTGGTGACCGTCCATAGCAACAACTGAACATGTCCTGCATGTATAGACTCATCGTCCATGTTCTTTCGTACAGAGCTATACTCTATCATCAATCGTATCCTAGATACTCACGATATGAAGGCGAGATTTGGAAATGTCAACAATTTGAAAGTCAAGAAGACTCAAGTAGTTTGGGAATAGTGTCAACTGAGTGGATCCGGGGATGAGACAACGAAGCTATCACCACTTCACCTGCGCTTCTCCTTCATAGGACGAACAAAAGTATTGTTCACATTTGCCACCGACATGCTCGTAAATATTCCTCAATTATAGGAAACCATTGAGATCATTAGCCATCATTCGTAAAAAAGGACCCTATCCACCATGGCTGACAAGTGGTATCATTATCAAGAAACAAGCAATCCCTACCGACTCCATGCTTTTCATAACCCATGAGCAATAATAACAAACCAAAGCAATACCGCATTACTAGCCCTCAACGACCATCTCGTCCACCATCTTCATAAACCTCTCCCGATACTCCTCCGGATCCGCCGTGATGCTCATCGGTCCCTTGTGCGCAACCTTGTTAAAGATCTTGACAATCTTCGTCAACGCCCTCGCCTGGAAAGCATGCTTCGCCCAGAAAAAGTCCAGCACAACACATCGATACGTCCACTTCCCATCAACATCATCAACGCCCCTTCGCCAGCGTCCTGCGTCTGATTCCACAGCTGGAACCTCCATACCTTGAGGGTATCGTACCAAGAAGAGAGAGTAGTCCACTGCGTTGCGTGAGGCGAGGAGTGCAGAGTCTGCAAAGAGTAGTGATATAAGCTCTTGTTTGGCTTGGTGTGTTACACGGACTTTGTCGGGGAATTCGTCGACGAGACGGTCTATAACGCTGTTTGGCACAAGAGCACCGTCTGCGATGTCTCGCTCAGGGAAGAAGTAATCGTTGGGCTTGAGGTCGTACGTCTCCCACTTCTTTCCTTCTTCGCCCTTTGGTTTACCGTAGAGGAGATTCTCCATGACAATGTGATGTGTCGGCGCAGCACCAATCATACCACCAATACTCGCCTGCGACGAAACCACCAGATCTGTGATCCTGACGAGTAAACTGTGCGGTTGAAACTTCATGTGCCCAATATAAGGATCCAGCAACTCCTTGACGAAGAAATCATGCTCAAAGCGTCTTGGGAGCGACTTGATGAGATACTTCTCATTAGCCGTCGTGAAAAACGTAGAACCACTGTACCCTAGATCACCAATGGGTATGAGCTCAGGATTGACCTCCCCTTCTGTCTGAAAAGACTCATGATATTCATCTTCATTAAGCTGCCAGACTTCTTTGCGCAGAGCGAGAAAGTCGATGGAGCGATAGCGTGTAAGGAGGAGACGAAAAAGGCGGAAGAAGGCGATTATGGTTCTGATGATGCCTTTCTTTGACTTGCCGTGGCGTTGGCCTATAGCTTTTGCTATTGAGACCGAGATGCGGGATGAACGGATCTTCATGCCTGCGGTTTTTGGCCGTTGGGTGATGGAGTGAAGAAGGTTTTGGCCAATTTTGAGGCTAGAATTTGTGTGTTGTTCGAGAAGCTGTTGGTGGAGGGGTAGTAAGTGAAGATGGTGGAATGAGAGGTTGGTTGGGGAACCTGACGTCACTGTATTGTCAGTTGAGGATCGAGATCGAGACCTCAAGTTCCATGTACTTCCAGCTGGTGCAACACGAAATGTCTTACAGAGACAAAAATAGAAAACTTGTCAGTAGAAAAAAAAATATTATTGTATCAGCGCTGTATATCCAATCCTGTTCATCCCGGTCATTACCGTCCCGTATCTATAGTTCTGTATATCTGTGTATGTGTATAAGAGGAAACCCATCGCTTGCTTTGCGCCAGTCGCTTCAATCCCAGTAACTGTCTAGTATAACAAAGAAAACAACAACTCCAAGCAATTTCCCTTGTTGCTTTTGTATATCCGCTGTAATAAGCCATCCTGAAACAACTGACGCTCTAAAATTATAACCATAATGAAAAACAGTAGAAAAATGAATGTGTGTTCAGATCAGAAACTGAACAGTCCACTTCGCCTCTTACCCAAGGGGTAGACGATCAGTGCACTCATGAACAAACCGACACTGATACCAATGGCAACTTGGATAACCTTGAACAAGACATTGAACGCAGTTCCTTCAAGATTGCCCATTGTGTTCATGTCAGATGCCACCTTTGTTCCGTTCTTAGTAATCTCATCAGCCATAGTGATACTGGCCAACAGAGAACCCCCTGCTGCTAAACCAGACGGAACCTGCACGAAAATAGCTGGAAGCATAGCCGCAGCTGCAAGACTGTATCCGACCTTTCTGGGCTTCTTCTCGGGCTCTTGATGTTTCTCTGGTGTTCCAGGTCGAGATTCGGGATCGTTGAGGGTTGGGAGGGACCATGAGTCCGAGTCGATCTTCTTCTTGGTATAACGCGGTCGAACCCTGAGCTTCCACCAGTCGACAAAGTCCAAGTATCCATTCTCGACATGTCGACCCATTCGAGAGTACAAGTTCGCGAGAATACCGATTGTCAAGGCACCCAGCATATTGGAGATTTGACCGTTTCCTCCAAAGTACTCAGCGCAGTAACTGTTGACCGACCATCCAGCTAAAGCCATCCCGACCATAACAGGAGTTTGCTTCCACTTGGCTTGGTTGATGAGACAGAGACACATGGTGAATCCAGGGACGAAGAGGAAGTACCATTCCCGTCCAAGAGGGTTATCGCAGGTCGAACGACTCGTTGCGTTGCTATCGATCATGCCGTAGAGCGAAGCGCCGATGGTGATACCGTATCCGAGGAAGAGAGTATAGATGAGAGCGTGGACCATGCGTACACTACCGGCGACGAGGTTATGACTTTGAAGCTCGAGAGAACTACAAAGGACCATGTAACCTGGAAGAATCAAGGCGATACTACTCTGTGCCAGTGCACTGAAGCAGAAGAGTTTGCCATTCTGGATGGAACCGAATGCTCGAGCAAAGAACGACGTGATAAGAGCGGCGGAAACCTCAAAGACATGGGCGTATAGTTCATTGCTAGGTGCCAAGACAAGCTGAAGAATACCGACGATACACCCAAGAAAGAAGGCAATAGGCAAGTCGATGAACCGGCCTTGGAAGGCAAATGGCGCAACACAAGCTGAAGCGACGCCGTATAAAAACACTCGAATCCATACGTTGTATTTATCCTTTCGTGCGTTGACATTGTCGAGTCGTTTCGTCGCTTCCTCAACACCAATCTTGTCGTGGACAACTTCTTTGTAAATGTTGTGTACGTCTCGAAGGCGACCGAGGTCAATACCCTGAGGCACACGAACGAGCTTGACTTCAGTGGTATGCGTAGTGCTATCGTCGAAGCTGATAATCATACAACCAGGGAGGTACAAGAACTGAGCCTCGATTTCGAGGACACGCGATGACATGGTCATGTACTCTTCCAACCGATGTGTAGGCGCACCATACATCATAAGAGCTCTGCACAACTTGAGCAGATACCGATGTCGTTGGATGATACCCGCAATGTGAATAGTAATACGAGCCTTGTCGCGCTTCTTCGGGGGCGGCGGCTTCTGTTTAATCTGCTCAGCCCACTTGTCGGAGATATTTGCTGAAGCTGGCGCCGCAAACATGGACGAAGACTTCATCAACTCCGTAAGTGCAAGCGAAGACGTCGAGTGTCTGTTCTTGTGGTAATTGAACAAACCGCTCGTCGGTCGTGAGCGAGGCGGTGATCGGATAGGAGGCGTTCCATTGGATGATCCAGGGCGGGATATAGGTGGTGAGTTGCGCGGCGACATGAGTGGTGTACCCGGATCCTTGGGCGTGTTCATACCGCTACCTGGTGCTCTATCATCGTGATACAGCTTTAGCAGCGAGGAGAGAATACCGCCGCGGTATTGGTCTGGTCGGGGGACGTAGTCGTGGGCGTATGCTTGTTGAAGAACGGGTGTAGCGGTTCCAGATGTCGGTCCGCCGTTGGGATGCTGTGTGAATAGATCCCGTTTTCCTTTGCGGGTATGAGACCTGACTAGATTCTCAGCCGCGGCGTGATGCTGGAAGCGATCAGAGTTGGCTATTCTTTGTCGAAGACCGAAGTATTCTGCATCCTCAATGGTGTTTGACCCAGCTGGTGGTGAAGCCTTGGGATTATCATAGTCCTCGATCAACGGCTTAAACGAGGGGACTTCCTCGAGATCAAGCGATCCCCGTCGTGATCCAGGGGCAGAGTAACTCCCCACCGAAACAGCTAACCGATCAGCTCTCTGTCGAGCATCAGCCATAGACCGATACTGTCTCTCCGTAGTCCTCGACTCCGCCTGGTCCGCCTTCTCCCTCTCATTAGGATCATCGTAGCTCGTATTTCTCCTCAGCGCAGGTCTCGGCCTCTTTGGTCCTCCATCCGGGGTGTCTGGTGCGAGATTCTGAACCTGTCGTTTCTTCTCCTGCTCAGCGGACAGGATCTTTGTGAGAGCAAGGCTTAGCTCGTAAGCATCCGGAGCATTTGGTGGTAATTCCCCAGGCGCTAGCTTCGGTGAACCAGCTGGTGAGAAGACGCCCTCATCCTGACGCTGCTGTCGTGTTTGTTGTGGGCGAGTTGTCGAGTCGCTGCTCTCCCCGGAGGATTCTTTGCTGGAGTGGAAGCCTACTCGCTTCTTTTCCTTGCGGAGGGGAGTGTGTACCTGGCTAGGTCTCCCGCCGCTGCCACTCCCACCACTATCATTCTGTTCAGATAGCATAACTAACGAATGGATATTTTTTATGATAAGAAAATATCGGGTCTGGAAATTGGGGGGAAAAGCGAGGTTGCTCTTTGGTTATAAAGGACTGGGCCCCTCGAGGGCAAAACTGAGTTTGGAGGATTGATCATGTTGTCGATCAAGGGGGGCATGATTTACATACTACTTATTCTGTGTCTGTGTATACTCTCGCTCCGGGGCGAGAACAAGAAAAACAAAACTGGGCCTGTATAGGATTTTTTCACCCTTCGCTGTGCTGTAGTGAGTGTAGTGTACAGTTTCTTGTTGTGGTGGCTACGGGGGCGGCAAACTTGCGTGATAAGGACTGTGGGTCGCCGAGAGCAAGCCCGAGACGGGACATGCCAGGTTTAGCTCACTGATTAACTCCGTCAAGGCGATGATGCTATATAAGTTGATGGATATGATGATGATGGTGTGCTTGGTTCCTTGGTTTCTGGGCCTATAGAGGGCTCGTCATGGCATTCATGGTATGTTGCTGAGTTGGTTTTGGTCTGGCGATATCATTTTTGGTGTTTTTGCGTCGAGTCATGAAAAGTGTTTCTTATCTGACACCCGTTGAATACCAAAACACTCGTCATACAGGATGAAAATTACTTAACACACTGGAATTCTCTTCAAACCAAGCAAACTCTTCTCTTCTCTTCTCCCCTTGCTCAACCCACGCAGACCAGTCCTCGCTTTCAGACCTGTCGTCTTGGACCTGTCTCATCATGTCTGCTCCTCGACCTTCAATTGGTCCGGGTAAAAGTGTCTTGGCTATCATGAAAAAAAGAAAGAAAGCAAACGCTCGGATTACTCGTTCGGGGAGGGCGTGGGATGAAAAGCAAGGACCGCCCTCCCTCAGTCACTGCACCCGGGCTGCCGGTACAATAATTAGAAGCCAGGCCAGGCCAGAGCTAGACGGGGGGATAGCTTCTGAGCTTCCAGCGGGCTTCTTCCACCGCCACGTGCGGGCCGCTGAGACCTTGACGTGCCCTGTGCTTCAGGGGATGATGGCCGATGGGTTCTGCAGCTACAGGACAGCCCTGCAGCGATCGGTTAGGGGCCGGTTGGGCGCTAGAGAGGACTGGCTCTGGCTGACATTTGGATTGGAATTGGATTGAGGCTCTCCGACTATTGACAATATTCCCGAGATGGTTTCATTTTTAGTCCACACCATCTTTTCATTGCTGAAGAAGACCAGAGAATCACCTTCCACGTTGACCATGCAGGGCTGGCAGTTGATCGACACTCTTGGTTGCCTTGATTGGTGTGATTGACATGCGAACTGACGTGCAGATGCAGATACTGACAGAGGCGGTCTCTCTCTGTCCTCTCACAATCATAATCGACTGAGGGTTCGTATTCTGACGCGTAATGTTCAGTCACTGAATGGTGAGTCAGTATCTCGAGTCACTGATCCATATCTAACGTAGCATTCCTTGCAATCACATGTTAGAGTTTAGAGGCTCTTTGGGCTCCAAGTCCCAACCTATTGAGCCCTCCCCTTGCTCAGATGTTGCTCCATTAATGGAGCATATCTTGAGATCCACCCGATACCGGCTTGTCCGGAGCATCCACCATCAGCGGATCATAGCGCCGATAGACAAGAAAGCCAAGCTTGGACTAGAAAGCTCTAGACACGATATCAAATCTGATTTGATTGTCTGCCTGTTTCTAATAATTTCATCACCATCAATAATCTTGTTTCTATTCTTGTAGAGTTCTCACCCGCATCACTAGTAGCCAACCTAGGGGAGGACAGAAAACTCAGGACCTTGATCCTAAATGACAAAAGGATTTAGGCAATACAGCCTGAGCTTAGGGTGACTGTTGCTGAGTTTATTTTGACATCCTATATCAAGGTCTGGTGTTTTCTTGCCCCCCGAGGCCAACGTACTATGGATGTATGTATGTATGTATGTACTGCAATACAAGTCTGGTTAGTGCTTGATAAGCATCCCCAATAAACAAGCTTCAGTCTCATTGGGTCTACACCTCCCTCCCTCGGTCAAGGCCAAACTCACCGAGACAGACGCCCAAGCGCGTTGACTTGACGCGAAGCGAAATAGGTTAGGCCATCACTTACGGTACCTCTCGTTACCCTTGAAGATCTGGGCATCAATAATCTCCCTGCACCACCATTGAAACATCGTCATCTCGCGAAACAACATCCATCACAATGCCAGTGCCAACGTCTACGTACACCATCCCTGATCGCATCGTGCCCATGCGCGTCATCGTCTGTGGCGTCCATCGCACAGGAACGTTGAGTACGTCTGCTTCTAGTTCTATCTCAGGGGGTTGATAGCTTAGCTCCCCCCTCTCTCTCAACAATTACGCGCGTAATCTACCACCCGAAAAATGAGAGCTGAAACAGACCAAACAGGTATTCGTAACGCTCTGTGGCAGCTTGGTTTCCACGATTGCTACCACATGCAAACTCTCTTCAACAATCCCACTCGCGCCCCTGAATGGGTACGTGCCATGGAAGCAAAGTACGCCGATAAGGGGACTTTCACCCGCGCGGACTGGGATCGCTTGCTCGGCGATTGCCAGGCCGTGTGTGATGTTCCCGCTGCGTTCTTTGGCCCTGAATTAGCGGAGCTGTACCCTGAAGCTAAAGTCATTATCATGAATCGAGACCCTGAGAAGTGGTATGAGAGTGTGCTTAATAGTATCTACTTGATAACCACCCCAAAGGGGTTCTTGGCTAAACTCACTATGATTTATTGTTTTCTGCTAGATACGAATCTGCAGTACATGGCCAAGTATAGCAAATCGATGAGATCCCTGGTTCAGAAGTATGACCACGGTAATGATAAGGAGAAGGCCATTGCATGGTACAAAGCGCAATACCAAGAATTCCACGACAGAATTCCAGCGGATCGGTATATCGAGTACACCATCACAGAGGGCTGGGGACCGCTGTGTGAATATCTTAATGTTCCTGTACCAGAAGTTCAGGACCCGGAGACAGGCAAGATGGTCGAGGCACCATTTCCACATCTCAATGATGGCGAGACGTTCAGAAGGAACAGCAAGGTTATGAAGAAGAAGACCGTGGAGAGGGCGAATCAGAATTTACTGGCCGGTGTGGGGAGGTTGGCGTTGACGGGTGTGCTGGGATATGCTGGTTATCTGGCGTGGAAGACTCGACTCGGAGGACGTGTTTAGTCGAGCTGGACATGAGTTGAATACCTTGATCAATGAGGGTAGTGTATTTGTATTGTAACATAGGAACTTTCTTATCTTTTTGTCGAGGGCATCCAAGAGTTCAGGCACCAGGTCACGCTCATGCAAGTTGTGCCAAGGGTAGTATGTTCAACATCAACTTTCGTACACCATTGCTCTTGTTCGAATCGTACTTGTACTAAACCTATCAGCACATCTATTCTCTCCCAAGCTCATGCCCTTCCAATCATCATCAACCCATCATCTGCAATAGTCTCATGAGCTCCGCAACATCAGCATTATTCGCCCTTGCCCCCAAGTGTCCATCCCTCCTAAACTGCTCCATCTTGAACTTCCTCGGCCCCCACAACTCGGACCCATCAACATCGACATCCTCAACTTCTTCTGGCTCAACCTCCGTTTCTCTCGCCTCCTTGATAATCTTCCCTTTGCCCTCGTGCAAGAACTCGTCCATGACTTCCGTGGCCACGTTGAGGAACCTATCATTTCCCACGCCACGCTCTCGGACATCGGTGCTTCCGTGTCCCGCGGCCGTCGAGAAGACATAGCCTACTACAAAGGTGAGCTGGTCCTCGGAAGGTATGTATTTGAGGAACTCGGGGCCGACTTCGGCGGTGAAGGCGCGCTTGAGATCTGTGAGGAGAGACCAGGCGATGTTGTGCATGGTGAAGTAGTTGAAGCTGATACGAGGGATTTCGCTGTTGACGACTTGGGCGAGCTGTTCGATGAGACCACTTGGAGATGTCGGCACGGCCTCAAGCTGGGATCTGTTAGTAAAAGCTCGCTGAACGGACTTGTCAGGACTTACGTTGGCCTCCTTGGCCTTTTGCTTCAGGTCCCCTTGTATATGACCCTTGCCATCCATCATTGCCTTCTTACGACCCTCGGTCAAGAGTTCTCCAACGGTAGCGATTGTCCAAGGCTCGCGAGCATTATCCACACGGATACGGTTGTCCAACGACAGAGATACCCAGCCATCAAACTTCATGTTTGGTGCATTGCCTTTATGCTCGGTGGGCTTGGCGCTCCGTCTGTTCGGTGCCCAGTTAGTGAGTGAAGTGCCCAGGCAGAGACAGTAGTTCTTGTAGTAGCCCTCAAGATCCGTGGGCGGATTTCCAACAAAGAAGCACGGGTTGCCTTGGTATCCCCACAACTCCTCAAGATCTTCCCAAGCTTGTCCTTCGGGAATACGACCCTCCTGTCGGAGGGCTTGGTAGAGCTGTGTAGTAGTCATCAGGCCACCGCTGTGCGCAGCAGTCTTGACACCGTTGACATGCAGCATAGATCGCATGTGATGGATCAAAAGACCGCAGTGGATGGGGTTCCGACGAAGAAACTGGAACGCGGGGTTATCATCGCTGTGAGCCATAGCACCAAACTCCATCATCGACTGGTTCGTCTCACAGATGGGATCGTGGTTCCAGCGCGTCGCCACTTGGAGGACTTCCTTGCGCTCCGTCGTCTTGGGAAGATCGACAAGAGCCTGTTGGATTTTGAGACTCTCCTGCTTGAACTGCTCATACCCGCGTCCGACGGACTCTCCAAGACCCTGGACGATGTCGAGATACATCTGAAGAGCCCACGATATCCAGAGACGAGGGTTCTCTTTCTTTTCCTTGAGCGCAGCGCCCATGCCGCGGACAAGCTCGTCCTCCACGTCGCCTTGACCAGGGTTCGTGGAAAGGAAGTGAATGCCCGAAAAGACTTCCATCAGGGCCGTCTTGTCCTGATTCCACCTCTCGGTATTGTTTCTGCCACCAGCACCTAGCTTCTCGTTATACCAACCCAGGCTGCCGTTGTAGTTTCTTGGCATGATAGAATCGCGGTAGTGATCCACATAGCCCTTGAAAACACTCATGCTGTTCACAGTCAAGACCTTTGCAATGTCGTAAGCCGCAAGGTTGTAAGCCTCGCTCGGGTTCTTCCTGTCCTTGTCGATGCCCATCGCCTGACAAGCTGCGTCGAAGCACTGGTGTGCGAAGATAGCTGTTCCGCCAAACTTGTCCATCAGCTTCTTGATGTCGGCTTCCATGCTGTGGGCAAACTCGAATGCTGTGTTGGTAGCCAGAGCCACAGCGGCGAGGTCAAGCTCACCGCTGGCGTACTTCTTCCAGAGCGAATGGATCTCCTGGCCGAGATAATCATAGTCGCGGAGAAGAGCGGCGAAGGCGAAGAAGGCATCTTCCCAGGTGACCTCTTCCTCAACGGTGTATTGAGTCTCAGGTTCAGGTGTAGGCGTGATATCAGGGGCGTTGAGGAATTCCTCAGAGGGAGTGTAGACGTTGAGGACGTCAAACATGCCCTTGGCGGGGTGGTTCTTCTTGACATCTGACTTCTTGTCGAGGTCGTCAGGTTTGAAAAGGCCAGCTTCCATGATGGGTTTGAGATATCCGCGGACTTTCTCAAGGACCTCTACAAAGTGAGAGTGAGTAGCATCGGAACGACGATCCCTTCTTGCACCGCTCTCCGTGAGTTTCTGAGAGAATGATCTGCGAACTATGAATTACATCAGCATCACTAGAACCAACATGATAGATGTGATCAACATACCCCAGATGCCTCTCTCAAAAGCAATAGCGGTCTTGTGAGGAACCTCAACAGCATTGGTCTCCGCAACATGTTTAGCCATGGCCTCAAAGTCCCTGACTCTGATGACATATTTCTTGGTGCCAGGGTCTTGCTTCTCCTGTGTTTTCTTGTTCTTAGCTCTGCTAGGGCCTTTGCCCTTTCCATTAACCTTTCTCTTCTTCCTCTTCTTCAAAGTGTCGAGAGCAGCTGCGCCAACTGCACCATCAGCGTCGTAGCCGTGGGCTTTAGCAGTGTTGGCTAGCCATGTTGCTACAGAGTCTGTGTCGGCTTTTTATTGTTGGTAAATGCTCATATAAGCTGGAGAGAGCATCTTGGACTGATTTGAATTTATATGTTGATTCTGTTGATATTTGAGGCTGATGTTGATGTTGATGGTTTGTTTGAGATGGGGACAGTCTCGTTGCTACCAAGGTTGGCTAGTAAGGTTGGTACCTAACAAAAAGCAATGCCGATTTCCCCTGAATACGGATTTATTAAATTCCGCATCAAGTCGTATGTATACTTTGTCTGACTATCGAAAGCCATGTTTCAGTTTACCAATCACGATATCCTGGTATTTTCTCGTTCAAAATGATAAGAGACCTCGATTTCTAGTGTATCCCGGCAGTAGATGGTGATTTATGAGGGCCACGAAGCCAGCATCGGCAGTCAGTAACTAATGCGGCCACTCCACAACCCACCAACTACGCCTACGTCCGGGAATAAACAAGATATAAATAGATCCATAATAGTAGCAGCATCCATCATTTGAAGATCAGATTCACACAAAACAGCATAAACATCGAGAACAAACACAGAATAAAACCCCCCACGTCAAATGCACGTGAGGAATATGGCCTGCAGTGGCCCGTTGCGCCTCTCCCAACACCACAATCAGATCACGACGATCACCTGCCCTCCCCCCTCACGAATATTCCATCAATTAAAACGCCCAATTCCCAAGATCTCGTTCTAGCGTTGTCTCTTCTCTCAGCTCTGCTGCTCCCTCCCCCCCCACGCTCTCTCTCAGCATTCCTCTCTCTCAGTGTTACACGGCAATTGGCGGGTGCTATTGGACAGGCTGGACGTGGGGGTTGGAGTAAGTCAGGCGACTTGTGAACGGACGGTACCTGCTTTTGCGAGGATGATCGCTGTTTTGTTGCTGTTTGTGGTCTCTGTGATGGATGGCAGCCTTTACAATATGCTCGACATCTTTGCTTCCATTTCGTAAAGGTGGCGTTTGTGTAACTCTCCGTGTAAGTGCTCCCCCTCTCAGACGTCCCCTGTATTGATCCATTGAAGCCCTCAATTGCAGTGGAAAACTGCCGCTGTAGACCCCCACGATCACTTCGTGTCTCTTGACTCGCGTGAGGTCACCGGTTCGGCCCGGAGTCTCTCGGCCGGAGCTCAGCGGATGTCTTTGTCGTGTCTCTCCCCCGCCTTTTCACCACGTACCCAGGGATCCGGACCTAACCCCCACGCTTTTCGAACCATGCCTCTCTCGAACCTAAGTGCCTGAGCCTGAGCCTGAGCCGCCTGAGCAATGGGCTACCTCATGACGAGGACGCCACTCTTATACCTAGTCCTTGGTTGGACATAAAAGAGCAGCTGACGCCAGCCTCTTTCAGCAATGCCTCTTCATCATTCTTCTCACTGCTTTTCTTGTTCTTTACTTGTATAAAAGAGAGACTGCTTGCTGCGTGTAATCTGCTTGCACTTATATACTTTACTTTACGCTCATATCATATCATACCATACCATATGCCTTCGACATTGCTTGAATCTCCCACCATGGGCTCCCCCAAGGCTTCTCAGCTGCGCCTCGGCGATGGCGTATACGTCCCTACCCTTGCGTTCTTCACTCCCGAAGACGAGGTCGATGCTTCAGCTACTGAGAAACACATCATCAAGCTTCTCGAGTCAGGAGTAGCTGGTATTGTTGTTCACGGCTCCAACGGAGAATGTGCCCACCTCTCTCCTTCAGAACGAACCACCATCATCCGCGTTGCCAGAGATACCATCTTCCACGAGGGAAGTGGTAGTCGTGTTCCTCTCATCGCAGGCTGTGGTGCTCAGAGCACAAGGGAGACAACAGAACTGTGTGAAGACGCTGGCAAGGCTGGTGCCACACATGCTCTTGTTCTACCTCCAAGCTACTACGGCGGACTTCTCCCCGATGATCTAGTCATCCAGCACTACTACGCCGTTGCAGACAAGAGCCCAATTCCTCTTCTGGTGTACAACTTCCCCGGCGCCGCAGCTGGCCGAGACCTCTCCTCCGACACGATCCTCAGCATCGCCAAGCATCCCAACGTCGTAGGCGTCAAGCTCACATGCGGGAACACCGGCAAGCTCGCCCGCATCGCAGCTGACTGCCCCGAGGGATTCTGGGTCGGAGGCGGCAGCGCAGACTTCATCCTGCAAGGCCACGCCGTCGGAGCCAACGGCACCATCTCAGGCCTCGCCAACCTCTGCCCCAGGGCATGCGTCCGCATCACAGAGCTCGCAGAGGAAGGAAACTGGAAAGAAGCCCGTCAGCTGCAAGCCACAGTGGCCAAGGCTGACTGGACGGCGATCAAGACTGGATTCGTTGGTGTAAAGGCAGCGCTGGGACACTTTTCCGGGTACGGGGGCGAACCTCGACGACCTTGCGTGGCGCCATCTCAGAAGGATCTTGATACTATTGCACAAGGGTTCCAAGAAGTAATGGATCTTGAAGTTACCCTCTGAAAAACAAAAGCATGTTTTTGACTCGGGGGGACAAAAGCAGGTTGCATTGGGCGGTGACGACGTTGATGATGACGATACCTGTTATTTCGATCGAAGCGAAGCACGGAGATGGTGTTGTGGCGTTGGGCATACACTACACTACACAACCATCAATCATATGAGGCTGTTCTGTAGCAATAATTTCTCTGTACATAAAATAATACCAATTGATGCTTGAAGCATATACCTACATACATACATCATATGCCTGATTACCCCATGGAAACTACCATTCCCCGCAAAGTGGCCATATTTTTCCAATAATCCCACGCATGTGCAGCAGAAGCCGGTGAGGAAAAGGATGTGTCTCGTGGTCGATTATGTGTAGCCAATGGGGAGTGAAAGACGGTGAGGAGCACGCTGGACATTGCCGCTTTGGGGTGATGATGCTTACACGGGGTGTCGGATGTTCAATAGGTACAGGCATAGTCTATGCTGGGTGTGTTTGCTGAGAGGGAGAGACAGACAGATGCTTGGATGGGGATTGTCAATCGTGGGGAACCCCGCAGTTGGATCTGGATGTGGAGTTGACGCTGTGAAAGAGCAAGTAAGAGAAGCTGAGTTTGTAATGGTGTTGAAGGCCTGCCTCGGAGGGAGCCCGAAGTATGTAGTGTCTCTGTACTTGATACTGCAGCCATGCACGTTCAAATCAGGTATTTGCACAAGCTTAGAAGCAGTGATATACATGCAGCATAACTGAACAGGCAGTGAGAATACACTCCCGCCAAGAATCACAAGCAATTCCATTCATGAGGGGGAACAGCATAAACAGGTCATAACATGAACCCAGAAAATACATAGCCAGGCAAAGAGGAGAATGTGGAGATGGCTCACAAAGTGCCCGATGCGTTCGTGTGGAGAAGCGTGGGGGTTTAAAAGCACTCGGGTGTAGCTCCCGGGCTGAAGCTAAGATTGAGACGGTGAAGAAAAAGCGTATGTTGTCGGTGGATTTCGGGCCATTGATGAGCGAGATCATGCCATTGAGTTTAGATATGTAATAGCATTGGAGGGTGTGTCTATGCTATGAGGGTCTAGAAATCGGCTGCGTCAAAGTTGCGGATCAGGTCGTAGTAAAACTTGACAATGTCCATGTGCGACTCAATCCTTATCCTCTCATCGACCGTGTGAATGTTCTCGGATCCGCGCTGTCGACTCGGTGTCCAGCGGTAAATATTTGGCGACAAGTCTATAACCTATTAGCATATTCCCTCTCCTCGTGTAACGATGTACTTACTGAGGTAATGTCTTGTATCAGTGTTGCCAGTCATGATTTCACCAACAGGCACGACCTTTCCGCCGTCGAAAGCAAAGCTATGCTGGATTGTGCCAGAGAAGATGTCCCAGATTGGGCCGCTGGTAGGAGATACGGGTGTTGTGACCGAGTTGCGGATTGCTGTGAGTTTGAGATGGCCGTCGTAGTCAAATCCAGATTCCTTCGTAGACTTTGCGTCATCCTTGTAGGCGCTTAGAGTGAGGTTGTACTTTTGAACAACAGCATCAATGTTCTTGACGAACTGCTCCTGTACCTTGTCGAGACTGTCTTGGGGCGCAACACGGTAGTTGACACCTAGGTTGACAACTTCAGGCATAGCGTTGATCTTCTGACCGCCGCGAATAATATCAACGGCCTGTGTTGTCTGAATAGTGAATTTGGCCATGGGATCAAGATGAATAAGTTCATCCCTCAGCTTCTCAAGATTGTCTTTCTTCAGAAGGTCATGGAGTTTGGTGTGTGTGTCAGGAGAGTGACGTGCCAAGCAGACAAGATGGTTGTATACAGGACTTCCCTTGAGAATAGCAGGTTCATAAGGCTTGGACTCGAGAGCAGAGATGATCTCAGCCATGATACCAATTCCGGTGTGAGGGTGAGGGATAGAACTGTGGCCGCCCTTGACGCGAAGTTCAGCCCAGATATCAATGGCGCCCTTCTCTTGCACCGAGGGAAGAACGTAAAGAGTATCGTCAATGAGCTGAATTCCCGAACCGCCCTCATCCAAGATGAAGGGAATACCGTTGTCGCCATATCTCTCTGTCAAGAACTCGCCGATCTTGGCAGCGCCTCGAGGACCAGAGCACTCCTCATCGAATCCGAACGCTAAGATCACAGTCCGCTTGGGTTGCCACTTCGTCTCAGTGAGCAACGTCTCAATGGCTGACATGAGAGCTGTAAGACTGTTCTTATCATCCGATGCTCCACGTCCCCAAAGCCACTCTCCGTCAAAGTAGGCGTCGAAGGGAGGATGCGTCCATGTCGATGGATCAGGAACAGGAACAACATCTTGATGAGCTGCGAGAAGATAGGGCTTGAGTGAAGAGTCGCTTCCGGTAAATGTGTAAACAAGACCAAACTTGTTGATCTTCTCCAGCTTTGCATATTTATGTCTAAATCTGGTCAGTAAAGGTCTGTGAATTGAGTTTGGTGGCTTACATGGCTGGGTACGTCTTTGCCAGGACATCATGTAAATCATAGAAAGGCGCCCAACGTTCGTCTTTGTCAACATCACCAAGATCGTCGTAACAAATTGACGGAACGCGCACAATTGCTTGATGGCGCTTCACCTGCTTATTAAAAGCATCTTTCGAGTCGAATAGTTCATTGGCAGAAGGCAGACCATCGTTTCCAGGTGAGAGCACAGGCGGCAAATCGCACTTAAAGTCATGCCCGCTCTGACCAATGGGCTTTTGAGGTCCAAAGGGACCGAGACTGAGGCCTGAAGCTCCAGCTACAGTTGCCAAGACCGCGAGAGACTTGCGCACCATTTTGAAGGTATTTGGTGCAGAATTGGAGATGTCGAGGGAGGATTTGTGAGGTGAAACGGGCGGGGAATAAAGACGTGATGATGGAGTCGGTAGCTAGCACGACATCGGCGCCGAAGCCGAGGCCGGACCCGGTTGAAGATAACGGTTGCTAAAAGTGTTCCCGATGAGGAAGTTGAGGTAAAGAACTTTTGATTGAGGATTTTCGGGGGTAAATTTGTGTTGATCAATGGGTTCGTTGTTATTCCCGGGTATATATGGGGTTTTTCTTTGATTGCCGCTGGTGTATCCGTATATAATGTGAATTGCAGAACCCATCGACACCGACCCTCGACAATACCTGGGCTCTCGTCTCGGTTTGTTTACGGTGGTGGGCATGCGATTGAGACTGACTTGAAGATTTGTTTTGCTTATTAAAATGGAAGAAACCGTTTTTAGCACCTTTCTTTAGTTCGCTTGGGATTGGTTGTTGTATCGCTTTAGACTGCGTGGTAGCCGGCAGTCGTTGCTAGTGGATCAGGTAGATGGTCTTCAAGTGTAGAGGAGATGGAGGGTGCAGGCTCCTAGTTAGCAATAGTAGTTAGCCAGTGTACATAGTATAGACAGCTCAGTCAGAACCAACCTCTACACTTGGGCGGGCAATGGCTGGCGCCTCCTAGTTTGAAGGCCCAGCCGTGTCACCGCCATCACCATCACCCTTGCGATCCTCCAGTCGCTTTCCCAGCCATGCCTCAAAGGCGGCGAAATGCGGAATCTTGTTCCATTTGTTGCAAAACGCCTTCAGTTCAGCGTAATGCTCCCCAAGCCAGGCATCCTCCCTTTCAATCCCGCGTCTATACACAGGCTGCAGAAGGACCAGTTCCGACCCGAGTTTCGAGTAACAGACTGGGCAGAGATACGGAGGTATCTCGCCCGCCTGGCGCATCCCACTCACGCCCTGCATGAGACAGGCATAGTAGTTGCAATTCTGTAGCCCGAAACAACGGGCAGCTTCCCGAGACACAGCAACGAGAACTCGTGCGAACCATAGGTACGAGAGATCCTCCATTGAAGATGGCTGGCCAGCTTGGTTGGCAGCTTTGATCGCAAGACCGAGCGCAGAGTCACCAGGCGGTTTACCGAAGGCCTCGAAGGAGAGGTGGTTTCGAGTGTCCACGTAGGCCTGGCAGTGGCTCGCTGGCCACCTATGCAACCGGTCGATGCCTGCCATCCTATCGAAACATGGATTACGACGGAATGTCGACACGATTGCCACTCCATCCTCCACCCATACTCTCTCTGTGATGTAGCTTCCCTCTTCGTCTTCGTAGAGGTCATGGTTTAACACCATGACTACTGAATGAGCTGGTTCGGCTTTGATCTCCGCAAGAGCAGTCCTCAAGTCAGAGACGTTGAGCTGCATCTTTGACAGCCCATCCGGCGACGGGCGGTGTCGTACCTCAAAGGTATCCCTGCCATCTTTGCCTCTGAAGCCGATGACTGATGTCTGGGGAGTGTCCTCAAAGTGGACACGCCTCCGTCCTTGGATCAGTTCAAGGTGCGAAGTGTGGGCGAATTGGGATATTGGCATGGTGGTGTAGAATGCACGGAGGTAAACGATCAGTTGTTTATACTGCTTTAATGTCCAGGTCCAACGATCTGGAAAAGGGGGAAAGCCTGGCGGTAGAACTGGGAGTGACCAGCTTCTCATTTCTTCGGGTAGTCGTTTTACACTCGGTGGGCCGAACACGTACATCTTCTTCCTGGTCGAGATTTCCTGGAAGCGCTTTTGGGTAGCTTCACTAGCGAGCCAGTCCTTGCAGGTCTGGCCCTGCTCTCTTGGGTGTTCTGCTAGGTGGTCTCCGGGTAGCACCAGCGGCCCAGGGAAAGTCTGCTCGTCATTCACAGCATCTTCTCTGGCGAGGTATGCTCCCCTGGCTAGTCTGCCTATCTTCGACATTGCTAGTGTCCTCTGCTCAGGAGAAGGTCGCACGAATCCTGCGTTCGCTGCAGTAGGGCTGCAGTTCATGTAGACGGCTTGGTGGTCGCAAGTATCCGACATTTTGATAAGGCGTAGAAGTAGAAGAAGTAGGAAGGGAAGGGGAAGGGGAAGGGAAGAAGGTGTATTGACAAGAACTGGTAGCGGCCAAGATTGCTTAAGTGAGACTGGTTCAGAAAAAGAAAAGGCAGCCTGCAAGATAAAAACAAAAGAGTAAGCAATCGTTCTAAAATCTACGATAGGCCTCAGTAGTATAGCCAGACTTCTTTTTTAGGGAGTCTTTTTTCCTGGCTGAGGATTAGATGACTTACCTTGAATAATGAACGGTAGACGCGAGATTTTTTGAAAATCTTTCCAATCTTCGCAGACTTTTTGTGATGAGTGAGAGTGAAATTTGTGTAGAAAGAAGATGGATGCGAGAGGGAGGTTGACTTGGCGGGGCACTGGCAAGGCAAGTTCATGCAGAGCGAAGTGAGGGTCGGTGCCTCAGGCGGAGGGGAACAATAACTGCTAGGCTTCTCTCACCTGCAGAAGTGATAAGTACTAGCCTACGAGAGCCTGTAATTGTATTCTTTTGGACCGGATATTACGTTGATTGTCGTTGGGGAGCGAGTGTCAATGTCATATTATGCAGCATGAACACTCCCTTCTCAATGCACTTGGTGGACTCCGAAGAGGTCAAGATGGTAGAGACATGCATTATAGTCCCTCGATGATCTTGAGCTTTCCCTCATGGCTCTGTAGATACATCGTTAACAATCCAAGGCCATGCTGCATCTCCTTCGTACAATTCCAACCTCAACGCCAAAGACATCGCAATAGGGGATAGTACATAGACCTCCTTCTCCAAAAATACGAGCATGAAACGAACAATTCTCTTTGATACTGATTTCTTTGACATCTTGCTCAAAGAGTTCTTTTACTGTCATTGTGTTCTGCTGTTCAGTCCGTTTGTTTACCACGCCGACCCCTCTGTTCGCATGCTATTGTTCACTCTAGCCTTTCAAAACATTTCCCACCACCAACATCTCAATGGCATCCAAATATTCCAGCATGAACATTTAAACAACTACACGCCTTCATTTTCGTACATCTAATATTCAAACTTCATCTGCACCCACTGAAAATCACTTCGATCTTATGCTGCAAACACAAAGCAACATCAATTTCTTGTTCCAGTTCTTATGAGCCACTATATACTCCAGCTATTATACTATCACATATACTGTCAGTTCAAAGACACCGTTCTATACTCTCATGATCCTCCCTAACATTGTCAGCACCAAGATATCTCCTTACTACAATACACCATGCCTCCGCGTTTCCATTCCCTCCCGCCCGAGATCCAGGTGATGATCCTACAGGATGTCTCCCTAGAAACTTCAACCGCTCCATACGCCGCCGTCTGCAGAGCCTGGCAGTATTTTTTCGAGGAGAAAAACTTCAGGTCCCTCGCCATCAGGCAATTCGACCTCTCTACGTTCCGCGAAGTAGTTACTCCTCGGCGTCAACAATTCGTCAAACACATCTGGTATCGGATAGTTCTTCCATCTCGTGTCGATCCTGCAAATAAGTACTTCGAACATCCCGCGGTGCTGTGGAGAGCAGACAAGCGCTTTACCGAGTCTATCTTTCGATTGTGGGATATCATTTCTCTATGGAAGCCGGAAAACAGAATCACCCTTGAGCTCAGTGCTTTCTCATTCAACGATTGGGACCAGATTACTAAACAACAGCGTATTTGGGATCTGGACCTTGCGGCGTACAAAGTCCACAAAGGGCTACAGTCGAAGGAGCCTTACCATTATGACGAGCCTCATGCACCCTACATCGAACAGTACAGTCTATGGGGCTTGCCGAACACGCAGTGGAGGCTGAGGGATTACTGGGAGGCCTTAACGTATGACCTCTTGGGCTGGGAGGACATCGAGTTCACCACGGCTGACGAGGGCGACGGGGACAACGTGCCATACTACGTAGAGGAAGATGCCATCCTCCCTCCTGTCCCTATCGTCTCCAAGTTCCTTATCCGCAACACGCAATTCCGTCAAATCCAGCCAATGACTCTCTCCCAGATATTCGAAAGTTTCCATAACATAGAAAACATAACCATCGAGCGATGGGCTTCTGTCGACTCCGATAGGGAATCAAACTGGACCGATTATGCCTCTAAAGCTTTTGCCATAGAGCTCCCAGTCACAGTCAAGACATTGTCCATCAACGGAGAGAAATGCGCGGTATTTCAGAGGTGGACATCAAAAGAAGTTCGATTTAGAGAGGATTTAGCAACGCATCTGCGCCAATGGTCAAAGAATCTAGAGCACATATCTATACTAGATATCATCGACGCCAGACACTTCCTTGGTATCTTCCATACCTACGTCACAGATCAAGACCTTCAACAACTGATACGATGGCCTTATCTGAAGACACTTACGCTAACCACAGACTTATTCGAGACGCAAAAGCGGAGAACGATACAGAACTTGCTCTGCTGGGCGGCGACAGCAGCACGAAAGATGCCAGAACTTCGAACACTTGAGATTAGAAGCAGCAGAGATGCGCAATGCTTCTTTCGGTACAATATAGTCAAATCTGTCGCAGAGATAACGTGGTCAGGGCCAGTTGTCGATAGTACTGAGATTATGAAGGAGTGGGAAAAGACATCTGCCTGGAGAAACAATCATGACATAGTAAATGACTTTTAAATTTTCAAGGTCAGCTCGAGGGTAAAGTACAAAAAAGGCAGTTAGAGAACTAGTCCCAAAGGAATTTACGCGGAGGAACACATGTTTACAATGTTATAAGGAGGGTTGTTACAAAGCGTTGAAACATGTTCAAGATACCTGTCATATTTTACAAAGCAGTTACATAAAAACAATAATGATAATTGATCCCATGTCTTAAGCCAGACTGGCCAACTCCATATGATAACTAGGTATACAGTGACAAACCCATAACGAACGCCGCGTATGCATCCAGTGCTTACACAAATCCCTCCCATGCAGCCCCTTTCTAAGCATCGATCTGCTCAACACGAGAGTCCTCTCCAGAGTGAGACTCGCTATTTCTACCCTTGTCATTTCCACGGAAGACAGCCTCATCTCGCTGGTCACGGGTGATGTATCCAGGTGGAACCCACTTGTGACTGTTCCAAGGCTTAAGACCCTCCTGACCGTACATGAGATCGACATTCTCCAGAGTGAGTTGTCGGGATTCGAAGAGGAAGAACCAGACGAGAAGAGCGGCGGCTATGTTGGCAGCAACGAGGACGAAACCGAAGGCATAGTTAATGGCATCGGCTGCAATTGGAGAGAGGAAAGCAATCATGACTGTTATAGTTGTTAGAGGAGAGTGTCACCCCAAGAAAGAGCCATTACTTACAATTGCCAAGCCAGTTACCGGCAGTAGCGATAGAGGCTTGCTTCGCACGAGTACGGAGAGGAAAGGTCTCTCCTATGACGACCCAAGCCATGGGACCCCAGGTACTAGCGAAAGACGCAATAAACATGCACGCGCAGACAATAAGAACGATACCGACTGTGCTGTTATTCACAGGGTCAATAGCTGTACCGATCGAGGCAAAGACGCAAAGCCAGGCAGCTTGCCAGATGGCACCGATGAATAGAGGCCAACGACGTCCAAATCTCTCGACGAACCAGAGACCAGCGAAGGTAGTAGCAACATTGACAGCACCCAGGATGAGCTGTGTCTGGATGGGGTCCTCAATTCCAGCGGAATTGAAGATGGTAGCTCCATAGTAGAAGAAGTAGTTGACACCGGTCCACTGCTGAAGGAAGTGGATGAAGAAGCCGAGTAATGTACGCCAGACAAGCTTGGGAACCGAGCTCCTGGGGTCGAAGCACTCGAGCCAGCCGCCCTGGCCGACCTGCTTCTCCTTCTCAAGGATGCCTCGCATTTCTCTCAGATCGTCCTGGACGAGAGGGTCTTGCAGATCCTTCTTCTTGCCGCGAAGACGTCCGAGTGAGAGCTGAGCACCCTCCCAGTCGCCCTTGGAAGCGAGCCATCGAGGAGACTCGGGGACAACCAGGATACCGATACCGAGAGGGAGAGAGAAGCCAATGCCGAGGCCAATGACGATTCTCCAGGATGAGTCGCTAGTATCAATCTTCTTCATACCGAGACACACTATGTTGGAAACCAGGATACCGATTGTAATCATGAGCTGGTAGGAGGCGACGACAGCACCGCGGATTTCGCGAGGGGCGCATTCGGACTGGAACATGGGAACACCGACGGAAAGGTTACCAACACCAAGACCAGCAACAAATCGACCAATCATCATATGAACCCACGATTGCATCGCCGTGATCTGAATGACATTACCAATAATGAACAAGGCGACTCCGAAGGTCATGCTCTTGCGGCGTCCCCACCAGTCGGATGTGCTGAAGTCATGTCAGTTGCTTGTTGTATTGGGTTGCGCGAGGTGAAGGAGACGTACTATGCACCGGATAGAGCACCGATCAAACTTCCAATGCTCATGAGACTAACCATGGTCGATTGGATGATAGGCACAAAGGCCTTTTCGTTTTTGGTCTCGTCGTAACCGGTTGCGAAGCGCAGAATGAAGTCGCGGAAGAGGAGCATAGAACTAATCTGCCCAGTATCGTAACCGAAAAGGAATCCACCAATGGAAGTGATGACTCCCAAAAGGATGGCTTCTATGCCGCAGTCGGCGCCATTGACCTTGATAGACCTTGAGAATGTTAGCTGTGATCGGAGCTGAGTATAGAGGAAGGATAGTAGACATACCTATGACCAAGCATGGTTGCAATGGTGTCGACTGTGTCGCAGGTGTAATGAGAAAAAGAAATACAATAAAACTAGAATAAATCTCTGTTTCCGAAATGCATAGAAAAAAAGGAGGGAAGACGAGGTCTTTTATTCTTCAGATACCAAGACCAAGACCAAGACCTGGGGTATATAAGAGAAGAAAAAACAGAAACGGCCCTGCCTGCCCCATAAAGACTATTAGGTAGGGGAAAAGGGCGACAGTCGGGGGTCCCGACAGGGCATGTCTTTCCGTTCCGCGATGGATGATGATGATGATGGAGAAGACGAGATGGGGGCGGGCATCATTTACTAAACTTGGCAGTCGTCATGGGGAAGTTGAAGTCAAGCCAAGCCCGTTTCTCTCAGTGACAGAGACAGAGACAGAGACAGCCGCCGTTGGGCCAGGTGCAGATCACCTCACACTTACAGCACCCCAAGACTCACTAGAGATGGGCATTGCAGACAACAGAGCGTGGAGAGGTCCATGTTGCTTGTTAGTCTCTAACGAGGTTTGACGATAAAGGGCCGATGTCAGTGGCGTTGCTTTAATCCTTCATCATCTGGGGTTTCTCCAGTATCTTTCTCCTCTCCATCTCTCTCCATCTCTGCTGGCCTCAGAACCTGAACCGCAACAAGGCGAGCGAGCGAGCAAGCAACGGGGGCCTGGGGGTGTCCGAGTCAGTGCAAAGTGGACCATCAATGATTGGATTTCTGGAAGAATGTGGATGCGAATAACCCCTTGGCATGGGGTTCTGGGGTACGTACACCCCCAAAACTTGGCGAGAATTTCATGTAACTTACAGTGGATGCTGCTCTCTAATTTTCTTGGTGTCGTTAGCTGTGCAGTAGAGTTTGGGCCTATGACGTAGCGTCCAAGGCACCGCAAGGTAAGCTTAAACCGCCATGGGTGCCAGCCCCGTTTTGGACGGCGGGCATTGGTCAATCTCTGGGCTTACGGCATCGTTCTCGGTGCGACTTGGACTACGACCCGACGATCACTACGCGTTACACAATTCACGACACGTTCCCTACGCAGAAGAGACAAGACAAAGACGTTGGAGAAGAAAACCTTGATTGTGTAGCGAATTCTGGGGTTGTTCTTGCGGAGAATCTCCAACGTCAACTCCAGCCATCATCCCCCTCAGACTCACAGTCTCGGTCACACACTCTCTCTACTCGCCTATCCTTGGCTCAAGTTGCATTCATCGCCAAGTCCAGTGGGTCATCGAAACGATTCCTTGGCTCTGACACCAAGTACCGGCATGTCGACTCGATCCTTTCCAAACGCAGCACTAACTAACAGGAAAACTCTTTCAGCTCGTCGTAATTCTCTTCTCGCCAACGTGACCTCGCCTACAGTCATACACTCACCACAATTCCCCAGCCCGTGGAATAGGCACCCCAAAGTTTCTACTCCGGACCCGCGTTTTCATTTCGGAAGACTCCTCCAGGACCCACCCGGAGCCGTGGAGAGCCGGCCGTTTACTCGGAGCTTCATGCCTGTCGCTGGAGAACGGACTGTCCATCTTGCACCGAAGTAAACGGCCCTTTTTCTGTTCAAAATATCTCAGAGCCCCTATTTTTTTCTTGCCTTCCCCGGGCGAGTGGACGAGGACGCTTCAATCCCCCACGGCCGCAGTGCGAGATATCTGGGGACTCCTCATTCCCAACTCCGCGTTCAGGTACCCAGAATGGCGGAGATGGTTGAGTATGGAGCATTGTACTCTGTATGTGAAATTGTGAAACACCAGCTGACTCTGCGAACGGACCCTATAAACGGCCGTAATTCGGCGATGCAGAACGTGAACGTGCTTGAATAGTCGAGATATATCCCGTATTATCTTCTTCAAACATCCGACTTTTCGTACAACTACGAATGATTCCCGTCGCGTATGTCTTCCGAGCTGAGGCTTCCCCTCGAGACTCAAGGTCAGTGCAAACTCGGTGAGTGTTGGTACATGAAATTGCCAAGAAACTCTGAAAAGAACGCATGACCCAACTCGCAAATGGGGCTCATTCGATTTGTTGGATCATGGGAAATGTTCGATTACCCCTTTGATTGAAATGCAGAAGATAGCCAAGACATTGGTGGAGAAGGGTACATATGCAGAACTTTGTGAATAAGGGGTGATGTGATGGGACGGGGTGTAATGGGACGAGATGTGAGTTATCAGCCATCCCCAACTGAGCGTTACAACCTCTCACAACTCTATCTCTGGACCACATTTACGAGATAACCTATCACTTTCCAATACCTGAAGCGTCAGACAATCTGTCTTGATTGAGTGATCACCGCCTTCAAGTTCCACTATATCTTGCACCATACTCTCGCGCAATCTATGTACATCAGTGATACCACACAAGCTTTTGGACACGCGGTTTCACGAGGCGAATCCATGAGCATAAGCGCCCGTAATTCGTTTCGCTACGAATCGGAACGTATAGCTACTGTCCCTTGTTGACATTTATGTTGATATCGGCCACCCTATCTGTCGATATCTTGTAGCACGGGACTAATGCACTACGCCTTTATTCGCGGTTATCTCCCGCGCTATATTGACTAAATCTCGGGAAGCTGAATTGGGCAATCTCCGATAGCTGTTCCCAGTAGCTTTATCAAAAAGATATCTTTCCAGCTTTAACGACACAGCATACACACTTTCCCAGCCTTATCGACATAGCATACAAATTTTCCCAGCTTCATCGACACAGCACACAAACTTTCCCTGCGTCGTCGATATAGCACACACACTCACCTGGTTCATCAATAGAGCATACACATACGCCCTGCGTCGTCGATATAGCATACACACATGCACCCTGATTCGGAGATATAACACACACAACTGCCCTGCTTCGTTGATATAGCATACACACATGCACCGTATTTCGGAGATGCTGGCAAACTCAACGGGCATTATCTGACGGGCATGCGTTGCTCGTCTGGTTTTGTTGAGGCCGTCAGAACAAAATCCTTCACCTGACTAGAAATATGTAAAAGAACTGTAGAATCCATAAAGAATAAAAAAGTCTAGATAATCCAGGTAGTTACTGAAGTTAATGTTGAATCATTTCTGACTTGCTGGCGTTTAGGGTAGACTTACATTTTGCTCCAAATCTCAAGTCATGGCCATATTTTGAGTTACAACTATTCATAGACATATGTTACTATTCAACTTTAGATCAACAGACTTTAGATTCAAAACAGTAAATTGTTTAGAAAAGAGATGAGAGGCATATTTTATTGACTGCAAGTTCAAAGTGATTGCAACTTACTGCCTTCTCACTCAGGTTTAGATGAAGACATCTTCAAGTTGATTCTCTCCAACATCTTCCTGCACAATAGGAGGAGGGGTCGTTTTGACATACCAGCAGGATGGCAGAATCAGAACCTAAGAGCCCGCCTCCGTCGCAGACAAGCACCACCGAGCCAACAGACAAGAACCCCAAGCCTCTCTCCAAGAAGGCATCAAAGGAACTGGAGAAGCAACGAGAGAGAAAGCGACAAGAGAACGTTAATCCAAACAAGGTGTACACCATCGACGACCTCGAGACATGGCTGGCGAACAGCGACGAGTGGACCGACCAAGACACCCTCATGGCGTTGCACAAGATGGCAAAAGCGCTCAGGAAATCAGCCACCGAAATCGATCTAGTCTGGTAATGTGAGCTCGCAGCCACAGGTCTCAACTGCAAAGTGTGACATGAAGATATATTCATCACAGACATATTATCCCTCAATCACCACTCACAAGAAAGAAAAGACTAGAATACAATGCAATTTAACTCCCTAAGCTAAAGTCGTGCTTGCGACCAATGAGTACTATTGTACAACAGCTATGCGTTTCATTCTGGGTATCGTTTTCATAACTCATTACTCCCCTTAGTCGACCACCTTCAACATCTCGTACGCCTTGTGGTTTATCGCCTTCTGCACGATCTTGAGAGGCGTCATCTTCACCTTCTCCGTCTTCTGGGTGACGTTACCCTCCTCGTCCTTCTCGACGACAACCTCTTCATCCTCACCCTCCTCCTCGAAACCACCTCCCTCCAGGAACACCTTCAGCAAGCCCTGCGAGTACCCGCTGACGAGGCATGTTCCATCCTCGTCAGCCTGGACAGGCTTGGGCGCCGTTGGATCACCGCCGCTTCCGGTGTATCCTGCTCGGCCGCCTGCGAGGTTCCAGAAGACAAGCTCGGGGAGTTCGTAACCCGCCTCTTCGAACTTGGCCTTGATGCGTTCGAAGGAAGTAGACCAGCTTGATGGCTTCTGTCTCTCAGAAGCCCACTCCCGGTAGTAGTGGGAGTTGGAGGAGCTTGCTTCGTTGAACTGCATGTCGCTGAAGACAAAGACTCGCTTGATCATATCCTCCTGCTTGAGCTTGTTCTGGAGAGCCATGGGAAGGATCAGGTCCTCGAAGACAGAGACGAAGTTAGTGCTCATTCCCCATTCCGATCGGTGCATGGCCCAGTACTTCTCCCGCAGAGTCTTGGTCAAGTCGACTTCCTCGACTCTGGGGTGCTCGCTGAAGGTGATGAAGGTGCCGGCGAAAGGGGGCTTGGCGACCTCTGCGAGGAGGAGAGACAGACCGATGGCGGAGTCGATCGGCGTGGTCTGATCTCTAAAGACAGGACCGTTCATGCTGCCAGATACATCACAGACTGCGATGCAGGAGTCCATTGTGCCCGAGTCCTTGATCCGCTTGACGAGCGTGTTCCACTGGCCATCAAGTACCTTGGCCTCGATCTCTGCCACCTTCTGGTCAAGAAGCGAGTTGGCACCTGGTCGAGCAGCCGAACCGCCAGTTCGGACCTTTTGGATCAAAGTAGACGGGAGGAGAGTAGCCCCAGAGATGTTTGCTTTGCCTTCCGCAGCCTTGTCAAGGTAGTTTCCGAAGCGCTCGGCATCGTTCTCGATGAACAGCTTGGAGTACTGATTCATGGCGAGAGAGGGAACTCGGTCGTACTTGATGTTTTCGTACTTCTTGACGGTGATATCTCGCTCGACGATCTCGAGCTGCTTTCGGAGGGCAGATGTATCCTTGCGGTACTGCTCACGGGCGAATCGTAGATACTTTTCATGGCCGTCTCTTGGGCTGAGCATCGGGTGGTAGATGGACTCTCGGGGGTACAGAATCTCCGCGATGGTGCTGACGATGAAGGTGTGTCTGTCGTGGAAGTGATCAGAAGAAGGAGCCCACTTGCCGCACAGCGAGATAGAGCGCTTGGCCTTGTCGTCTCCTCGGAGGGCTTGAATGTCCTTGTGCAGCTGTTCTGCAAAGAGACGAGCAATGGTCAAGTGGAGGGCGCGATACACGGAGTCGGTATCGAATAGAACCCGAGCGGTCTCATGGCGGTTCTCTCTGGTCTCTCGTCTGAGTTCTTTGGGGTCGGCATCGCGATTCTGCTCTCTCATCTCCTGTCTAGTTGAGTGAGATCCTTGGCCTCGGCCACGGCCACGACCGCGACCGCGACCTCTCCCAAGCCCTCGAGCTCCATGATGAAGGCCTCGGAGTCTGCTGCCGTCGCGATGGCGAGGCTTCGTGATACTCTTGCCGCGGAGGATGCCAGGGTTCTCCGTGTTGAGGACCTCCTTGGGGTCATCGATGACAGTAAGCTTATCATTGGCCGCAATGGCCAGGATGTTTAGCATGTCCTTCCAGTAGCCATGGGCCACTCCATTCTTCACGTCGAACTTGGCAGAGCCGTCATCGTTCTCCTCTTCAACGAGAACAAGATCGTCGTCCTCCTTCTTCTCGGCCTTCTTGTTGATGACCGGGCGGCTCAGCCAGCAGAGGTTAGCGACAAGTGTCAAGGGATGGTTCTGCGCCAACCATCCAACACATCGGTAAAACACAGTCCGCGAGCTCTTTCCCAAATGAATGGACCGAGCGTTGAAGATGATTCTGAGAGTAGCAAGGGGGTTCTCATCCCAGGCTCTAGTAAGGAGATCCTTCAGGCGAGGACCAGAGACGGCTTCCTCGAGCTCCTGGAAGAGATCAACAAGGGCGTCTTGGCTGGAACGATAAGCGAGATCGCCGTTCTCCGTGAGCATCATGTTGTCGAGGTCCCGAGATGGCTTCTCGTTCCCGTAGTTGATGAGACCTTCCATGAAAGGGTTGGACTGGACAGGCTGGGGCTCTTCCACCTCCGGCTCCTGGGTAGGAGAAGACCCTCGCATAGTTTCAGTGTCTTTAGATGCATGATTTGAGAGGTTAGCGGCCTCCATGGACTGACGGATTTCGGCAGATGTCGAGTTGGAGACGAGAGTGAAGGTCTCGGACTCATCAAAGTTAGCCATGGCAGCGAAATGAGCGTCACGCTTCTCCTGTGAGAAAGATATCCTGTGACGATCGGCGATCATCTGACGAATACATTCTTCAAACTCAGCCTGTGGGAGTCTCAGGGCATCGTCGAAGGGGAAGAGAACGGGAGCTGATGACTTGAGGAACCAAGGCAGATCTGATTCCGATGAAGACGCCATGATGATTTGATGACAAGCGGAAGCCTGTTGAAGAAGAGAATAAAAGATTGCGTAAATAAGAAGAGTTGTATGATCTTTATATACTGTTGGTACAGTATTTGAAAGTTGCTGAGTTGAAAGTAACTTTTGTGTGTGTGGGTTTATGTTTGGGTCAGGACTGAACTGAGTGGCAGAATTCGGTCAGTGAGTCAGATCCTCCCTCTGTACCTTAGGTTGGGTTCTGAGGGAGACGGGAACTTTCCAGTTCTTACAGTGGCCAGTCCTGTAAAATGTAGGTTTGAATGGTTGTACTGGTTGCATGCGGCTGAAGCTTGGAGCTTTGGATGCCTGGAGGCTGAGCTAGCCAGGGAAGTCTATCCACATCGAACAGGGTACGATTTGGAAATCGCCGAATAAGATGAGCCCATCAGAATTTATACATGAGAGTCAGATGTGACTGGTCAAAAAACTGTAAGAATTGCCGGTTTTACGGCTCTACTTCTCATCATATGTGTTGGTCCAACATGATGTTGTCTTGAATACCCCTGTAACTGACGTCTACAGCTCATGTCCTGGGAGTTCAACAGGGGTCTTTGCGGGGAGCAAGGGTGCTAAAACTGGCCGCTTGACTCACCCGGGAGCGTCCCGTCAGTTTAGGCCTAGGCACTCAAGGGTGTCTTAGTGTGGAGCTTATGGGGATAAAGCTCGAACGACATGTCTTTTCACGTGAGACCGTTGTAACCTTGTTTCTTCTATTCCAACTTCATGTCTTGAAATGTTTACCCCTTTATCTTCTTCTCTACTTCTCCAATGCCTGAGTGTTTGTTCTACGATTGAATCAATGGGTGACGAGGCAAGTGCTGGTCAGTTTTATTCCAAAGACTCCTTTCTTTGATGATCAACTTCCCAATTGTTCGGTGCCTTCTTTGTCAACTGCGGCTCCAAGACCTTCTTCCCCCTTGTTCCTTTGTGCTTTTGTGCCTTGTCTTGTATCTCAATGCATCTCTGGTCTCGATGGGTTGTTCGTTTGCGGTCTCTTCTTTCGTGGTCTCTTCGTATATCGTGTCTTCTCCATTGAGCCAGCGCTTTGGGGGCTACTCGTTCGTCTTGTCCTGTCATGATCAAGTCCGGTCAGTTGTAGACTAGCCTGTATGTCCAGTTGTCAGAGGAACCTATCTATGGATCAAGGAGTCTTGATGCCTCGTAGATCCGATCGCAGTCAAGACAAGTGGTCTGACTGATGTGAAAGCGACCGCAAGTGCAAGAATAAGGGGTAGAGGCAGAGTGAGTCTCTTCAGATGTGATCCTGTATGTATATATGTGTGTGTTCCTCACTGTCGTGTTATGGACTTCGAAAGTCGTGTCTTCGAATTGATGCCTCCTTGTCTATCAGTATGCTCTGAAGGATGTCAACGCCATGCGGCACTCGTGCTTCTTACCCTTCTCCTATCGATATGCCTCTCCCAGGTCGCTGCGTCGTTGATGTAATGCTCTTCATCTTTGAAACGATGTCTCGTATGCCCGTGGGCATGCTGCGGCCGCTGCCGTTACGATCGAGGAAGATGGGGATGACTCTTGCAGATAGCCGATGCACATTGTCTGTTTGCTTTACGGGTTCGAGGTCAAAGTGTGGAAAACACCATGAGTCCATGGTGATGATCCTGCGCAACGATACAAGGTTAGCACGCCTCAAGATGCACCGCTCCCTCAGTGAAGGGGCTAATACTCAAGACCATCGTGGGCATATTCATCCCTCGAGCTTAGAGTTCCATGACGGTGTGCTGGTGGATGAAATTTCGACGTACGGGACGAAATACAATATGGATGAACAAAAACAACAAGATGGCGATATCGTGAAGACTTCTGGGAGACTAGTGGGGGTCCGAATAGTTTCATCAGTGGAGGGGCGGGACAGAATGGGTTGTAGGCCACCCGCAACACCAAGCAGCAACACCACTTGGGCTGGAGAGGAGCCAGTGAAAGTTGGCATGGGCTATCTTGTCAATAATATCTACCTCCGACAATATTGGGATTACGATTATGTTATCTACGTTCAAAATATATATCGAGTGTCAGGGCGATGTGCTGCAATGAACAACATATGAACATGAACATGGACATTAGCCTTGCTCCTTTCTTGCAGGTCTATGAACAAGATGAATGTTCGGCATCAAGGTGACGCGTGTCTCGATAGCTTCTAGTGCTTTCGTCCCACTGCACTGCCGCTCCCCCAACTTCTCCTGAGCCCCTCCTCTGCTCGGACTACTTCCTCTGCAGTGCCTCAAGTCCTTAACCTCCATCAATGCCCTATCCCTTCCCCACAACAAGTTGAAATTCATTTCTACAGAGCAAATACTCAGTGCCCTACTCCTGAGCACCACTGGCAGCGTAACTGGCCGTTACCTGGTCACCGGATCGTCTACGTTTTGTTGATTCTGCTCTCCTATAGGCTAGAGCTTGACGCGTCGTGGGCTGCATCTTCTGCCCCCCTCGCGTGTATCTCGCTCTCCTCTTTTCTCCCCCTCTCCAAGGACATCTTTCCTCCCACATCTCATCTACCCATCTCTCTTCCACAAAGGTATCTTCTTCTTCACAACACAAAGATTCGTTCCATATTTCTTCACTATCAACTTGTTGCAAGAAGAGTAACTATTCACATACATATTATTCTCACTCTGATCTCTTCTTCATACTCCCCATACCCAAGCACCCCTGCACTCTGTTTACCCCTTCCCCTATCTTCTGTATCTTCTCATTTTACTCTTCAATACCATTCATCGCCATAAACATGGCTCTCCCAACTATGAATGGCAATCAAGGTCCTACCTCCGAGCAAGGTAGTTGGGACTTCTTGTCGTCCCGCTCCGATGAGCTATCTTCCCACTCCTCTGACTTCAACGGAGTTGGCACCGCATTCGGAGACTTAGACTCTCATCCCTCGGACATGAGTCTCGCGTTGTCGGCCAACAGCGATGAAGTCAGCCTGAAATTTGAAGAGCAAGACTACCTAATCAAGTCCAAGCTTGCTAGTGTCGAGACTCAACTCGACTACATGAGCGACACCGCCAACTTCCCCAACCTATCAGCTGAAGAAATAATGAGCCAACGCGAGGCTCGGGAACAGGCTCGTGCCGACCTCGTGCGACTAAAGGAGGAGAACCGGCTAAACCGTATCCGCTATGATGAACTGCGAGTAAGTCATCCCCAGTCAATCCATGTTGTCATCTCGTATTAACCCTCTAACCTCCTAGGATGAGATCATCGGCTCAACTGATGGAAACCTCACTCCTACCCAGGTTCTGGCCAAGATGGAGGAGCTTGGCCGAGTTGAGGTTGACCTCCTCGAGAGTAACATGGCCTTGCGAGAGATGAGCGAAGCCCAAGGTGACTCCTCGTCTAGAAGCGATGTAAGTATTCCCTGCCCTTTGTTGAATCAGATGATTAATATTTGAACTCAGGGAGATGAAGAGGCCTCGTCTGATGATGAGTCGGATGAATCCATCATCCATCAAACCACGTCGGAGTCCGACAGCGAGGGTCCTGGGGAATAGGATCCCCCCAACTCCCTTGCGGACGATTCCTCAGACGTTGTATCCCAGTTTGCCCGCTCAGATGGTAACTCGGCTGCCGATGGCGGCAACAATGATGCATCCCCTACCAACCAAGGCGCTGCATCTGATGATCAGGACGCCCCCACCAGCAACGAGAATGAGACCGTCTCTATTCGTTCTGGTGATGAGATTTACATGATCAACATCAATTCGGTTTTCGATCCTGACAGTCCCGCCGACTCCCGTCGTGTTCTCCTCGAAAAGATCCCACAGGGCACTACTCTCACCCAGATTGCCAACGCGGTCTGCGGTATTGGCGGTCTGGTCCGCATCTCCATGATGGACAACCTTGTAAACAGCGGCACGGCCTTTAAGATGGCTTGTGTCGAGTTTCGCGACTCCGCAGCTGCCAGGAAGTATGTTGCCAACGTCAAGGCCAACGGACTTGAGTTTGTTGACGGTACCGGTCGCTTCTTCGAGATTGAAGTCAAGCTCATCAACTCTACTTCATCCTACGATTCCCACCATGGGCACCCGCTTGAATATGGTGTCGGCTATCATAGCGAGCACTCGGGTCGTTGTATCACTCTCGAGAACTTTCCTACATCAGCCATCTGGCATCTCCTGACTCGATTCGGAACCAAGTACATTATCCGTGCTTCCTTTTCCCAGAATGATAACCAAATGAACGGCAAGCTGTCCATTGAGTTCGCCAGTGTCTTCGAGGCCGGTCGTCTCTGTTACATGATTCTCAACCATGTATTTCTTCCCTACCATGGACCTGCCACTCAGATGGGTTTTGGTCCGACTCCTTCTGACCGCGATGTGGTGGAACTCACCAGTTCTGTCTCTAACACGATCGCTCATGTCCCCCATAAGCATCTCTCTGATGCATGGAACGTGCAGCCGTTCAACTTGTTCACCCCCTCCTCCAACTTTGCCTACGGGGCACCTATTCCCCGACGTGCGGTTACCAGCCGCACCTCGTCGATGAACGTGGAGGTTGTGTCGCGCACCCCGTCCATGACCGTCGAAGTGCCTCACACTCCGTCGACGAATGCTGAGGCGTCACGTCGCCCGTCAATCAACGTGGAGACGTTGCACCGTCCGTCTTGCTACCCAGGAAACTATGCCGTTGTTCCGCATATCCTCGTCCGCGATGACAAGAACTCTCCTGACCTCCGGGATATCCAGATGACCAACATCACTTTCAACTTCGTTGACGGCAACACTAAATACATCATCGTTAAGGGCAAGATCTTTTCTCGTCAAGTCAACGGCGACATCTACACCAAGCTCGACGACACGGAGCTCATGAAACTCAAGCAGGACAATGTCCTTAAGACCAACTGGGCTCCCTTCTGGAGACACTATTGCGAGGCAAATGAAATGCCCTACCTGCCCAAGTACGCCGAGTATGGCCGTGTCGCTAGTGTCCGCCGCAACATTAACAAGAAGTTCGGATTCGCGTCATCCTGGAACCCCGAGAGACTCACCGCGATCCCCAATCAGATCAAGGCATATTTGAACCCCAAGTCGCGCAAGGTAGTCTCGACAGCCGAGGGCGAGCGAAAGTAAATCTACACAACAAAAAGCCGCGATATTGCGCGAGACAGCTGATCAGCATCGGATCAGTGGTGTTCCTCTGAACACTCCAACATCGGTTCAGTCATACAACACTGAACATATGCATTAATACTCTGCCGAACATGTTAACAACAAGGGCAAGGGGAGTCTGCGATCATTTCCGGAATGTTTTTAGGCAGGTATGGGACATTTAACCAAGGGCATTGCTATAAGGGGATTTGTATGACATCTCTTTGGAGCCCTGGGGATCAATCAAGCAAGGAATCAACGGTAGTTCAATGCACTTTTAGGTAGTTCAATGTAAATAAGTCATTTGACACAAAATGGGTATCTCTAATGCTATGTATGTCCGCCGTGACCGTTCTGCTTTTGAAAAATAATTACGCCTTCGCCCTTAATGATAAGAATCCATGCCCGAAAGCCATCTCCAACTCCATAGCCAACCTTGACCTATTGTTTTTCTTCACCTGTAATCATCAGCTCCCCATCCATTCGCATCCAATTTCTTAGCCCTTTTCTTCGCGGGTGGTTCCTCCACGACGAAAAGCTCATCATCTTCATCATCCTCCTTACGTGGATCTGTAGCGACGGGCATTCCGAGCTCATCGTCCTCTCCGCCTGCGAAAGCCTCACTGACGCTCTTGAACTGCTTTGCAGGAATGCCCCATGATAACGTAGTTTGTTTCATAGACTTCTTCTTTGGTGCGTATGACGGTGCAACGGAGGGTTGTTTAGAGACTGGCTTTGTAACTGACTTGTCTGGGCGTTTTCTCTTCCCATTACGGAGGTACGCTTTGATGAGATCTTTGGGGAGGTTGGATTCTGGCTCCCAGGAGGGGTTCTGGTCAGGCGGCCAGTCACCTTCCCAGCGGACCAAGAAGTAGCGCACTAGACCTTGGCCTTCAACATCGTAGAGTTCCATGTCTTCAACCCGTTTGACTTCCCAACCTGGTTCATCTACCTTTTCTGCTTCTTGGCTGGGATCTTCTTGAGGAACTGGCTCTGGAGACTTGGGAGTGCTACTTTTGGGCTTCGACTTGGACTTTGGAGACCTCTTCTGAACTGACAGAGCTTCTTCGATGAGACGTGCTGTTTGTGTCTCTGACTCTGGATCTGGTGTCTCAACCCCCGAGTTAGAGTAGGTGAGTGACTCTTGGGGAGTCCATTCTGAGGCCGAGCCTGTGCCTTGAACGCCACTCAATAGTCCTTTAGAAGGTTGTGCTTTCTTCGAAGAACGGTCAAGCTTCTTCTTGCTTTCAGACTTTGAGCGTATGCTCGTGATCTGGGGCGTGCTTTGCCGACTTGAGGTCCCTGTTGAGGGGAATGACTCGAAATGTTTGCCTTTGGTATGCCTTTTCTTTGGGACTTGGGACTTGACTGCTGAGCCACTGAAAGCACTTTCTGAGTCCTCAACGGTCCCTCTATGCTCATCCAACGCCTGATCATCCGTCTCAGCCGAATCACCAGTCATTTCCCACTGCAACTGTCTCGCCGGGCCCTCCTCATCCGACAATCCCTCAAAGTCCTTCAATCTGTTTTTCGTAGGGGTCTTGATCGTCATGGCCCCCTTCATTGGAACAGCCTCATCGTCTTCTACCACCGCAACAACAGCCGTTTCTATCGTACTGTGCTTGGGTGGTCTACCACGCTTCTTTGGCTGGGAGACCTGTCCAGCTTCTGTCTTCTTTTTCTCCGTCGTTTCTTCCTCCAACTGTTCTTCCGTATTCTTGAATTCCCACTCTTCCAATTTCCTCGGAGATACGTATTCCAGAATATCCATTGCAGGAACCAACATTTGCGCCGCTGGTAGGTCCGTCCATGACACGATATATGTCATCCGTCTCGGTAGAGGGAGTCCATCTGCAGCAGGACCCGGTGAGGGAAGGATAATTCGCTCCAATATGTATGCGGTCGAGTCTTGGGGTGGTAGCAAGCTAATAGGCTGCAGTGGAGGACCACTGCCAGGGACATAATCTCTTGGTTTAGACCGAAGACGTACTTCGATCCGAGATCTCTTGTGTTCCTTCGGTTTTCGTTTTTCCGGCTCGTCTGGCTCGAGCTGCTGTTGGAGGGACTCCATCGCTCGTGCGCCAACGCGAGTCCCGCGACCCGCGACGCCAGTTCTGGCAGGATTATAATGGACGAGCCGCCAATTCGATTAGGTGAGTAGAAATCATAGGTAAAGAAAGGGCCTGAGGCAGATCAAGTAGAAGAAATTTTCGATTGTGTCGTCGGCGTGTTCATAAGAATAAATCTATTTTATGAGCTGTTCTAAAACGCGGCCTGTGTTGTAAGAGGCTGGCAACAGGCCTAAGAGCTGCTACCCGATGACTAAGCTAGAGTCACAGTCAACAAAGCCTAACACAGCATGGAAAGGCCTATAGGCTATATTTTAAATAAAGAAATACCTAAAGGGAAACTAGAATTTCTCTTATTGAATTATTATTTTAAATAAAAGCTTTTAAAATATTTATTAAACTACTAATTAAAACACGTAGTCTTATACCTACTTATAAGATCAAATATAGAGAATATAATTAATCTTAGCTCGATCAAGTCTATATAGCCCTTATTAGGGGGGTCGGGGCTATCCAGTTCCTAATTGAGCCTTAATGGCGGCAGCGCTTAGCCGCGCCTAACCAAGCGCCAAACTTTTCCATCCACCATGAGATCACGAACACAGCTCTACCCGAGCTTCAGCATCCCCACGTCACGCCCAATAACCGACGGCACAACGACATCCTTCAATCTCCACTCCAAACCTCTAATTGACTTTTTTCCCTCCCAAACCTCAATTGGCTACAAACATCAATTCACTTCATCATGGCGTCTCCGCTCAAGACCTCCGTCTTGCGAATGCCGCTAACAGGTCTCGTGCGCTCATCACAAAAAGCTTCATTCTCAACTCTGCGTCCAGCATCATGTCTCTCAGCATCGCCGTTCCGACCTCAATGCTTCACCCCCGTCGTCGCAAAGACCTTCTCCCGCACCTACGCCGATAAGCCGCAGTCCACCGAACTACCCCCGCTCGACTGGAACAGCTTCTTCAAGCTGCGAGTTTCGCGCCGACGATACCAGCTCCTGTTCTCCATCACCAATGGACTCTTCGCCGGCAGTGCGGGCGCAGTTTTTCTCTCGACGGGTCTGGCGGAACCGATCATCTCGCAAATCCCTCTCGACCCGTTTATGACGCTGGGACTTATGACGCTCGCGTTCTCGGGCCTTGGGTGGTTGAGCGGCCCTAGTGTTGGAAACCAGGTCTTTTACCTCTTGAATCGCCAGTGGAAGAAGCAGATGACGCAAAAGGAGGCTCAGTTCTTTGAGCGCATCAAGAAACATCGGGTTGACCCCACCAACTCGAGCGCCAGCAACCCTGGTAAGTTTTTCATCTCGCTAGCTTCAAGTGCCGATCAAGTAAGTTGCTTACTACAAAACAGTTCCCGATTTCTACGGCGAAAAGATCTCTAGTGTTTCTGGATATCGCCAATGGCTAAAAGACCAAAAGGCATTCAACAAAAAGAAGACTGCCAACTTTGTGTAAATGAAAAGAACGAAAAGAAAAAATATCTCACAGGAGTCTCTGTTGACTTGAGCAAAATGTTATTTGTAATGGCGCAGCTGATGGGCAGGAATGGCCTGCCCTTGGTGTGCTCGGGTTAACACGGGCGTTGTATGTTGTATGTATGTATCATAAAATCTCTCATCCAATACGACTATCCCCATTTCCTCTTTTAGCCAGCATCTCTTGCGTCAGTCTATATAAAAGGTACAGATGGATCAACAGTGTCCTTCCATGACTTGATACCACCCAGAATATCACCGATAAATCTCTCTCCGTTGTTCCCTAATCCTAGGTCCTTGAGCTTTTGCGCGGCAATCTGCGAATCGTTGCCGACACGGCATACGACATATATGGGGGTCGAATGGGGCAGATCGCTTGGCCATCCCTCGGGTGTTGCTTCACCGCGAGCGCTCATAAAGCGACTGATAGGGATGTTGACTGAACCTGAAATATTACAGAGGTCAAAATGTTCCTTCTCTCGGACGTCTACGAGCAGCATATCCTTGTTCTCTGACTTGGAGAGCTCATCATACTCCTTCGCTGTGACTCGCTCGTCGGGCTGGAGTAATTGAACAGGCTGTTTGACACCGCAGAACTGAACATAGTCCATTGAGTTCTTCAGCTCATCCAATGTCAGTCTGTTCTCATCACCACAAGCCAGACAAGTCTTTCTTCTACCCCTCATCCTCACGGATCGAAAAGGGGTATCAGACATGCCACTGAAAAGTAACAGCATTGGTGTTTTGGCCTCTCCATGGATCTCAAGGTCACCTCTTGAAATCAACTTGATGGCCTCCAAAGCTTGCAGGACGCCCATTGTACCAACAATAGGGCCAATAATTCCACCCTCACCACATCCAACCACACTATCTGGTGGTGGGGGAGTTGGGAATACGCAGCGATAACAGGGGCCTTTTCCAGGAGGTTTATTCAGAACGATTAGTTGGCCTGAAGTTTGAAATGCAGATGCTGAGACAAGCGGCTTTGAGAGAAGAACGCAGATGTCTGAAATGAGATAGCGAGATGTAGGGTGATCAGTACAATCAAGGACTAAATCATAGCCTGATACAATATCCTCAGCGTTCTGCGGTGTCAGATGTGTGTTGTGCGCGTTATAAGTTATCGTCGGATTCAGACTTCGCATGTTAGTCAATGAGCACTTAACGATGGATGGGATCTCACTCTTTGAGATATGTAATCGCACTCTGAACCTTGCTCATACCAACACGACCTGTCGAATGCGCAACTTGACGGTGTAAATTCGAAACCTCAACTTCATCACCATCAACAAGGCCGATCGTCCCAATGCCTGAACCAGCGAGGTATGCAGCAGCAGGACATCCCAAGCCTCCCGCTCCAACGAGCAGAACCCTGGCCTTCCTCAAGCGTAGTTGACCTGTTCTTCACTTAGCACCTTTCTCTTGAGCGTTCAAATGGCAACTAACCTTGAAGCCCAAAGTTTGGAACAATCATCTGTCTGCTGTACCTCTCATACTCGTGGCTATCTAGTGGCCATTTCCACGATTCTTGAGATTCACGTGCTTGTGACTCGGCGGCTGCGAGTTGGGAACGTAGATCTGCGAGCTCGACCTCTCGCTTTGCAATTTCTCTTCGAAGAACATCAACTTCTTCCATTGTTATTGCATGAGAGTGAGTGAGGTGTGAGAAGAAGTGTGAAAGTTAAAAAGTCACGAGAGGATCAGCTTAGAACGGAGATATTGAGTTGAACCCCACTATGAGTAGAGAACATGTCCAGATTCAGCATTTTCAACTGTCAAGTCATTATAGACTGTAATTTAATAAAATTACTAAATCAAGGCCTCATAATCTGGTTTCTAGTCATAATTTTAATGGCTGTTTCACTGACTACAAGCCGTTGTACGGAGCTGGCCTCAACTTCAGCCATTGACTGCCCCTCCACGCTGTATCTCGGTGTGCCCCACCACCTCGGTGAGCCACCCTCACCGAAAATGTTTCTCCAGTATCTTCGTCTACACCTTCAATTCCACACCAAATCCTCCAATTCCAACACCTCAACCACAACCCAAAATGGTACACCTCCTTCGCCCTACGCTCCCAAAAAAACAACTCACTAACAAACCCCAGGCTCCTCAACCTCCAGGTCTCAAAAAGCCTTCCGCGCGCACCCTCCGCCACCAGCGAGTAACAGGCCAAATCCACCCCCAAGCGCCCCAAAAAGTCTTCCGCGACGACGCCGCAGTAACCGACTCCTTCCTTTCCAGCAAGCGCGACAAGCGACTCATCAAGCACTCCTCCTTCGTATCCCGCATCCAATCAGCACGTATCTCAAAATCCACAAAGCGACGACGACCATCGAAGAAACTAGCAGCGAATTTGGAGAGTTTAGCTGATGCGCTCCCGGAGCTGGAAGAGGGTGCGGAGGTTGAGCAGGGAAAGGTTAGGCATAAGAGCTTGAAGAGCAAAAGGGGTGCGTTGAAGAGAAAGGAGAGGGTTATTAAGGGCGAGATGGAGAGGTTTGGGGTTAGTATGGCGAGGTTGACGCAGCAGGATGGTGCAGCTGCGCAGAAGGCTGAGACGGAGGAGAAGACTGCGCCGGCACCGACTGCGAATCGGTGGGCGGCGCTGAGGGGGTATATCTCTTCGACGATGGAGCAGAATCCTGCTTTTGCTGAGAAGAACTAGGGAGGTTGACGTGGAGAGAATTTAAGATACCAAAGATGGAGATCAAGTCCATAGATGACGTTACAAAAGGGGGGCAGATGCTATCTTTATAGAAATTTGTTCAGGCGTATGGAGTTGGAATCATATACTCTGATCACAGGGCTAGGACAGACAAGAAAACTTGCACCCTTGGCCCTAAATGACAAGAAAACTTACTTGAATTGACATGAGCTTCGGGGGCTCTTTGATGAGTTTATCGTGGTATCCTTCATAAACTCAAGTCTCCATGTTCCCTTAGGGAGGCCAACACAATACTTCAAAGCAGATGCAATCCTCATGTTTATAACGGTACAATTATTCTTCATAAGCTGCGCTAATGCATGCATGCATGTCTTTTTCCATATCCTACCAAACGCCTTCATCGCTAACTCGCATGGCTTTGATATCTCGGAGTATCATTAAAACAACAAACGCGTGTATGGGCATCTTTCTCTGTTACATGATAACCACATCCCTCTTACTGCTCCACGCTACCGCTAACGCCAAGATAAAATAGACACAGGGTGAACAGGAAGAAGAAAATGAGACGACAAAAACAATACTGATCGACCGTGACGCATCCGTCGTAAACCTCATTTCATTACAGTGGTGGAACAATTGCATCACTCGGTCTCGATGACATTTTGAGGCGTAACAGCCTATGCGCTAGAAGACCGCTTGCCTCGAACTTTGACGGGGGTTGAAGGACTTGTTTGAATCCTGGGTTCTTTGGTGACTCGATCGGACTTGCATGCTCGTGGGCCAAGAGGAGAAGAATCTTTGGAAGATCGGATTGGGTTCGGGTTTGTGCGAACACGGTTCCTCATTCCTCTCCAAGGAGGTTGATCAACGAGTCTAGTGGGGGAAGAAACCTTGGGTTTGGTGGCCAGAGCATTGGCGATTGAACCCTTGCCGTTTTGGTTGACGGGGGACTTCTTCGCCTCTTGAGAACGGGAAGATGAACGGCGTGGTGACCGAGGTGGTGACTTTGGGGGCTGCCGGGCGTTACGAGCCTTTGCCGCCTGAGCTTCCCTGATTTGTCTGACGAGTTCCTCGAACTCTTCGCAAGAGCCGTAGCAGTCCGTTCTCTATTCGATCCGCGGCGGTGTCTTGTTCGAAAATGGGCTGGCACTTCTCCTATCTTGATTATTAGATACGCCATTCAAAGGACAAAAAGGAAAGATTGAGAGCACTCACGATCGCCTGCGCTCACCCTCCTTACGGAGGTTTTCGATAATTCGCATCATCTCTTTGCGACCACCATAACTGTCGACCATCTTACCACCCATGCTCATCGACACCTTCTCGCGGGCATTAGCGCAGAGAAGGCGCTTGACGAGGAGGTGTCGCATCAACAAACAGACAAAGACACCACAGTCGCTTCCGTTCTCCTGCTGGGGGCAGTCCTCGAGGTTGATAAATCGAAGAGGCCGCCCGAGGATATTGGCAAGCTTGCGAGTCGCAACGTTGGCCTCGGAGTAGTTGGCACCGCCTAGGGAGTCGTAGTGGAAGGCGACACCGTCGAGTGTCGAGACAAGGAGAAGTGACCAATGGCTACCACCCTCTGCGACGCTCACGTTACGATTGTCGTTGATGGGTAGGAAGATATGGGTGACCTTTGAGAAATCGGGAAGGGCGGATTGGACTGATCGGAGGTCGGGCTCCTTCATGAGAAGGAATGTCATGCTTGGACGGAGCAGGACGATACGAGCCTGAGGGTACTTGGGAAGTGTTTCGCGCTCCAGATATTCCTCCCAGAAAGCAATATTGTTATCCGTTAACCAGTCGTGCTTGAGCGCCTTGATATCCTCAGCTGTCAAGAGGACATCATAGTAGCTGAGGTAGGGTTTCTCGGGGGCAAGCTATGCAGGATGTTAGCGTCAACGCCACAAGACAAGTCGCATTCCATGATAAACTCTACCAAAAGCGCATCTCAAAGATAGGCGCATTGGATCGATACCTAGACAGGCACGCACGGAGATGCGGGGTTACGGTTACATACCGAATCGCCAAAGTGGCGGGCCATCCTCTGACGAAACGGCATCTTGTGTTGCTTGGATGTCGAGGATGAAGTAGAAGTAGATGATGTCGACGAACGAGGTGAGATTTCCGGAGAATACGACGTCGAGTCTGCGGGAGTGATCTCGTAGTCGGAATTGGCGGTTAAGGTTGAGTCCGAGGTGTCAGCCGAGCTTGAGCTGCCTGGTCGTCGTGATCGGCGGCTCCGAAAGTTAAGAAGACCGTGCAAACGGCTGTAGAAAAGCAATGATGTCAGAGACCGATTGGTAAAAAGACGGATGCACTAAGGGCGATATTGCGCTGAGGATTGGTAGATAAAAGTTCGTAAAAGATGAGAGTGTTATAAGGATGAAGAAGTTGAACAGATGGAAGTAATCTGAGCTGAAGCAGAAGAACAGATGCAGCAAGTGGCAGTGTAAGTGACTGACGAGAACAATAGGCAGAAGACGTAGTGGAAGCGGGGTCAATAATGGTAATCTGAATAAGAGGAATCCATACACAATAGAAACAGCTCCTTTGAACTAGTGGCTGTGGTATTATACCGAGGCTTTTCAGGTAGTTTTGACCCTTGTGCAACGTAGAAAAATGGTTGAGGTCTGGGGAGAAAAAAAAGAGAAAGGAAAAAAAAACTGGACCGAAGGGCAGTGTCTGCAGCTGCCGCGTTGGACAGGAGGCTCAGCCCAGTCCACACGCCCAGGACGCAGTGGAGGCGGGGCAGACGACGGCACTGGCAATTTAGCGCCAATGCCCTGGAGGCCCCCCCCTGCTTGTAAGAGATGTGATGCGGGCAGCCAGCTTTGACTGATGCAGACGGGCCAGAACTCAGGACCTCTTTATCCAGTGACAAAAGGAGTTAGGCAAATCTAGTGCAGTATCAGGGGGGCCATCAGACTGGTCTTTTTCGTCACCTAGGACGAAGAAAGGTTGGGCCTCCCTTATGCAGAGTGGTCATATGACGATGTGACAAAGAGTGGTTGGGGATATGGATGTGCCCATTGTTCATGACTGAAACAGAATAAAGGCACTGGCCTCTGAATAAACGGAATGGCACAGAACAAAGCCAAACGAAACAGAACAGAACAGAACGAAACAATCGTCTTACTCACCCTGGTGTAGAAATATGCCCCGCATCATCTGAACCCATCCTGTCGTGTCGTGCCACTCAAGTTTCAAAGCTGTAACAAACAAAGTGCAGTTGATATCCGAGCGCAAGTGGTCCAAGCAAAGAGTTAATTAAATATTAATAATAATAAAAAGATGATTAATATTCGTAAATCGGTTTATAGTATAATAGGTATTCAGCAGCATTAATCGTACTGTTCATCGGCAGGTCCTGGATCTCTTATATCATGCATACCATCTAAATCTCGGACTTGGGAATGACCCCGTCCGCGCCACAAACTCACTACGTCACCCACAACCTAACAAAACCACCATCGTCATCGTTTCCCATGTTCGTTATCGCGCCGGAAACGCCTCCCGGACTGTACACTCCAGGCATCGACATCACCAGCCACGAATGCAGTAATGTATCGGCTCGAAAGGGCAGGCAGCTAATCTCGAATATCGTGATGCTCATCATGACACGCAAGATCAACAGCACTCGTATCCAAGTGTCTCATGGTTATTTCATCCAGTCCCCATCGTGATATTCGTCTCCCTCTCGCTTCCCTCTAACCGCTATTCGCCAAGTATTCTTCCACCCTCATTCAAACGCCAGTGAAGCCAGTCTACGATGCTTCCCGTATCGAGTCTAGCCTCATCAAATAAGCGAAGAATGGCTCTCTTCCCATTCATCCATCCATTCAGCATGCCTAAAATGCCACCAGTCTCAAACCTTGGATTTGCTTCACACCCATCTTAACACCGTCTCAATCGTCTCAAGATCGCTTCACATCTTGCCCAGATTCTGTAGTACGTGGCCATGTGTACCATCATAGCGAGGACATCACTCCTCAACAAGTCACTATCAATGCCCAGCGACTCCTCATCAAGCATAACATTGGCCAGGCTCGGGATCCTTACCGCTCGACTAACATGAAACTGACCCATCAATCAACCTTTTGATCCCTGCCGCCATTGAACCCTGATTTTCAGTCCCCATTCCACCAACTGCCATCACATACCCACCATTTGAGTCAGGCTTGCCATCACCTAGCTCCAGCAAATCCCATCTTCTGTCATTCCAAAATCTGTACAGTAAATCATCTCAATCTTCGTAGTCTGCAACATTTCCCTGCATCAATCGTCCATGAAGTGCTCGTAAACTTGTCGTCGCTTGTTCAAATAAGTGACGGCGCCTTGCTGCTGTTTCATTCAGCTGCTGCATCGCCTTCTCTCGTATCTTTCCGCGCTCATCAATCGCTGCCTTGGTTGCCCTCGTCCCCCGGAGGAACCTATCACTATCCTTCTTCCACGTTTCATTGAGCGCCTGCCTCTCTTGCATGTAGCGTCGTTCGATCTTCTCCACGCAATTGATGCCATTCTTCCGATAGGCATCAGCGCCACGGTAGATGGTCGCTTCCTTGGCCTGGAGATGATCCAGCATCATCTAGGCAGCATATTAGCAATGAACTGACCTTCGGTGATGGACTTACCTCGACGAGTCCGTGGAGTTTCTCTCTTATCTCTGCATTCGGCCCGGCCGGTCGTGTCTGTCTGGGAGACTCTCTATTGCCGCGGACTTTGTCATGCTCCATGGCCTGTTCCACTTCGGCAGTCGCTTCTTTTTGTTCCTGCAGGGACGCCAGTATCTGAGCATGAATGTCTTGGTCACTTGAACTTGGCTCAGGGTGTAAATTGGCCGGCTCGGTTTTGACCTTCGTGTTCGGTTTGAGTCTCAATCCGACTCTGGTCTTGTCGGGAATGGCCTCTGCAGCTGCCAGACTAGAGAGGTATTCTTGTTGTAAGTAATTACCATCGGGGTATGGGGATTCCTATTCCGCAGTTCTTCGAAGGCGTTG